ATAATTATCCATAGTGGCGCCATCGGTGACGAAACGCCCAAGTTTGTTATGAAAATAGTTCCCACCGTTTCTATAAGATGGCGAAACCAATATATTTAATGTAGGGACCTACATATAGTCATAGGTTCAAGCAGTGTTACCAACCTAAGCCAGAGAATTTAGCATTAAGAGGCTTTCGTCGTTTTTGAATAAGAGACGCAGCAAAGAGAGGGTTTAGAGAAGTTCGTTAGCGTGGTTAGCGACGCGACACGTGCTCGTCTGATTAAGAGAAAATAAAGAAAAGAAAATCCAAAAAGCTGTGTTCTATATACGAGTACGAGATTACCTTCACCCGGCAAAAGTAATTGTTCCATAAAAGTTTAGGCGTAGAAATACGTTACATTAATATGTTTTTCTCTTTATTCTTCATATAAATGCATAATTGACGTGATTTTCAGCTTTATAACACTACCATACACTATTTCGTTACATTCTTTACATATTTATCTCGCTTTTTCATGTGTATGCATGTTCATAAGTTCAGATACGAACCTATAATCGCTACCTGCAATAGACGTAACATAAACGTACTTTTCATAGAAGTAGCTTGAACATAAATGAAGTAATTAATGTATAAAATAATAAAATGATAAGAGAATGTGTTAATTTATCATTTTAATGAATCTTTTTTTAATGCAGAGATAATTATCGACTTTTGTGGTGGACGCACTCTTCATCGTCGATAAGAAGATTTATGAAGACCGCCGATAAAGAAGAACTACCTGTTAACTCGATGTTATTCATTTGATTGTCTTTTGTGAAACATAATTTAATTTTGTTTGTCTTTCAAATATTTTAACACACTTTCTGTCAATCCATTAAGCAAGAGAGATCATTTAAAATAAATACCAGAAATTGTTATTCAATCAAAACTTTTATTTAGTCTACATTATAATATAATATAGGTAAACCTTCTCCATACTTTTTTAGTTGGTGGCGCCATCTTATAAAAACCAACGAAACTATATTCGCTACAAACTTGGGCGATTTGCCACCGATGGCGCCACTATTTTATAAATGGGCCTCATCTAGCGGAGACAGTGCGAACTAGCTTGGCTACAGACTTGGGCGTTTTGCCACCGATGGCGCCACTATTTGATAAATGGGCCTCATCTAGCGGAGACAGTGCGAACTAACTTGGCTACAGACTTGGGCGTTTTGCCACCGATGGCGCCACTAGTATTAAAAACAATATATATAGTAATAGTTCCTGTGTTAATGGGGCACGTGTATCATTAGGTCGTGGAGGAACGTAAATAAGTCATCGACATATCGTGAGATCGTGGACTTTTTGGTGAGAATACATTTAATTATTAATATGTTTGATGTTCCACTATGCTGAGGAGAATTTACGGAACAATTTTAACGCATCAATCAAACCTAATTGTTCTACCAGGGTTTCTAACCTCTACGCGGAATTTTCTTACAATGACTAAACTTGTGAAAATCGGAACGCACGATGGTTGCTTTCACTGCGATGAAGCACTAGCCTATTTTATGTTGAAAATCTTGCCTCAATACAAACATGCAATCGTTGTTAGGTAAGGTTTTATGTGATTACTAGACAGTGGCAGTACCATTGGTATGTTAGGTTTATATTTTTGGAGCAGAGTTTGTAGTGCTTTTGTAGGTTACTCATGATATAATTGATATACAATCCCTGTTACAAGAGTGCAATAAATTCAAACATTGCTCAAGCTGATAGAATATAAAGGAGTTTAGTAATCTTTCTAATCCATTGAAATTTATTTGTAGAACGCGTGATCCAACTATTTTGGATACTTGTGATATAGTAATTGATGTGGGTGGAGAATATAATCCTTCCAAGCATCGTTATGATCATCATATGAGGTATATTTAAACAACAACTAGAAGTTTTTTTATACAGCAAACTCGAGGAATTTAAATGAAGTATTTACTCTATTTTTGTAACCTAAATATATTCAGATAAATTCGATTATTTTAGAGATTTTAAAGAGTCTTTGAGTACAGTTATTAAGAAACCAGGTTACGATTCTCAAATAAAATTGAGTAGCGCCGGATTAATTTACTGTCACTTTGGTCATGAAATCATTAAGCAACTAGCTCCAGAAGCTAGCGAAATTGACGTCGAAAAAATATTTAAAAAAGTTTATGACACGTTCATTAAAGAAATCGATGGTATAGATAACGGAATTCCGATGTACGACGGCGAACCCGCGTAAGTTATCGATACGCATTAAGTTTTTCATAACAGATCCAATCTGACTCATATTCGATTTTAGGTATCGTATCGTAACCGATTTATCTGCCCGCGTACAATTTCTGAATCCTACATGGAATAGCGAAAACATCGACATTGACGAACAATTTTTAAAAGCGGTCGAATTAACTGGCGAAGAATTTAAGCAACATATAAATTATGCGAAAAATGTATGGTTACCAGCTAGGTCTATTGTAGAGGAATCTATTAATAAACGCTTCGAGGTAAACAAATCCTCGATGTATCTATCGCTTTAATTTGCAATTAATAATACCAAAATGTCCAATCAACGTGCTTCTTTGTGGCATTTACACTGATTTGAATATAATGACATAATGCTCCAATAGAGTGCAAGCATTACAATAACATACCTATTGTTAGGTATGTAAAAATGTATCATAGGCGGTTCTTTGGCATAGCATCATGCAAGAGTAATTTTATTTAATTTTTTAAGCGCAGAATATTTTACGATACGAAACTATTGGAAATAATTTTACAAAGAATCACGTGACTGCACAGACCACAAAGGACAAAAATGCTTGTTTAGTTTAAGTATAGTTTCGTAATTTTAGTATTACACATGCAAAGTGAAATGAAGTGTATAGCGATAAACGCTTACAGGTTGATCCGAGCGGAGAAATTATTGAATTGACGCAAAGCGTACCATGGTCTGAGCACCTGTTTGCGATAGAAAAAGAAATGAATCTGGAACCGAAATTGAAGTATTTGATTTTTAAAGACGATACATATAGAATCCGAGGTGTTCCTGTTGCACATGGTAGTTTCGTTTGCAGGTACACACAGCCTTCACAATTTGTTCGAATAATCTTTCTGCATAATCTTTCAAATTGTTAATAAGCGCTACTGTTTTATAGAATATTTTTACCAGAAGCTTGGGCAGGTCTGAGAGATGAGGAACTCGAACGTACTTGTGGAATTGAAGGGGCCATTTTTGTTCATTCGGTTCGATTTATCGGCGGACATAAGACGAGAGAAGGTGCGTTGATGATGGCGCGTAAAGCCATTGAAATAGGAAAATCCACTTAACGGAGAATCTAGTTAGGAGCAATTGTATCACTGAATTTTTACTATTTTTTGTCGACTAGTATAATATTATTTATACCTCGTCATTTATTCCACGTCGAATTACAATTTTCTGCTAGGACGCATTTAATACTACGAATACCATTTACAGTATTCTATAATGAATATTTTTTTAGTAAAAAATTGTCAGTGTGCGGAAATAAAATGAGCATATTTATTAAGGAATGAGTACAGAGGGAATAATGATTTATTATCAAAGTTCTAAATGGCACATTTATCCTGTCCCTTCTTCCAATCAGTAGTTGTACATGAATTACATTAATCACATTTTATTACAGCATTTTCGAACAAATGATTAAACTACGACGTTTTTCTTCTATTACCTTGCTTGAGTTATTCACATAATCGACAATATAATCGTGAATAATGACAAGTTGTAATACAATGTATTATTACATCTCGAAGGTTTTTCAGCAATTTTAGCAACCTGTCTTCAAAGTTTTCCAGCAGGTTTAGCAGCTTGTTGAGCGTGCGCTGCAAAATGCGCTGCTTTTGCTTCCGCGACCTCTGGAGTATCTATTACTCTACCATCGGGACCGAGAGGAGCACCGTATCCATATCTGTAGGCATAGGGAATGGAGGAGTACGCCAGAGCACCATATGGATACATTCCTAATTTTTTTGCTGCTTCCTACGACAAAAAAGAAGCAACCCTACTAATTAATAAAATGTCGAATGGCAAAAAGATTAGTTCTCCGTAATTACCAGAGCGTGAGCGGCAAGATGAGCAGCCTTCGCTTCCGCAACCTCAGGTGTATCGATGACTCGGCCATCGGCGCCAATGGGTGCGCCATAGGTAATTGGAGACCCATAAATGCGGGTCAGGATTGGCACGTGTGCATATCCGAGCGTGTTTCTGGCAGCTTCGTATGCCTGCGTGGCGAGATGCGTTGCTTTCGCTTGTGCTACCTCTGGTGTATCCGAAACTCGTCCATCGTAGGCCAGGGGAATCCCAAGATAGCTGTAGGACACCACTGGCGCCAGATATCCTGCTTCAGCCATCGCCAAACCGCAGAACACTGTGAAGATGACCTGTAACATGCGAGAATGGTTTCTTTATCTCGAATTGGGTTACACTTAAAGCATAGAAGAGTAACTTTAAGAGTTGTCGGCTTGATTCGATGCAGGAGAGGTATTGTAGAACTGCACAAGAATGGTGAGGAGAATGCCCACGTTGGAAAAGAAACGCGTGGTTTTGGTATGTCAATGACATTAAACGTTAATAAAATGACCATGGACCTCGTTTGCGATTACAAAATATTGATTTGCGTAGTTTTTTTTAGGAGGTAGATCTATGTTCGTCTAGAGGAAAGGTGTAGTATAATCGTAGTACAATGAACACGGACGGGTTCGATTAAAAATGATTTCTGTCCACCCTATAAAAAAAAAAAAACATATGGAATTGAGTAACTTCCTCCTTTTCGAAGTCGGTTACAAACAACCAAATTTGATGCAGTTTGAGTATCACACTTACAACATTCGATTAGTTAAATTAATGATAAAGTTAATGGTATAATTGAATTACTTACAAGGGATTTCATAGTTAATCGTGTCCTAAGAGCGCTGCTGGGTGATTAATCAGTACTCGCCCCCAAAGTATCAGCGATGATGTCGTACCCTGTCCAAGCACGGTTCTCCTTTTATATATGTGAATCTGGTAGGGAGTCGTCGACCCGTAGGAGGGGACCACACCCTGAAGCGACTGCTGCACCTGAGGTGCTGACATTGACATTACGTTCATGAGACCCTGTCGTTCCTCGTCACGGGACTCGTCTCTCAAAGGGACTCTCCTTTGTCGAGGTCAGGTGCATGACCGTCGGCGACTGGGCTTCCTCGTCGACCCTCTTTCACCACGATCCATGAAAAACCTGGACAATCCGAGAATGGTTCGAGACGGGCAAAAACCACCCTCGAAATGGACATTTGATTGCGGAAGGTCGTAGACAATGCCAGCAACTTTTTATTTCTTCATTTATCATACATTATGCATTCGATATTACCACATTGTCAATGTCATGATTTTTGTGGCATTTTCTAAATGATTTCCAGGACGGGAAACCCTGAAATTTCACATTACCATAGTCTTCCGATTGTTATAAAAATACTCAGGAATATTTCATTGAAATGAATCTGTTTCGTGCGTTATTTTATCAACGATTTTTTCAATGATTTATTGAAAGTCACATCATCCTTCTTTTTACAACAGAGTACTAAATCATCTTCGCCAGTCTCGGCAATTCCACACTCGTGTAATTTAATTTATACTGTTTATCACGTTCTTCGACAAACCAACACCCCGAGAATGAAGAATAATTCCCTCAGCAATGTACTTAGTCATCACGTAATCACGTACTTAGCGACTCGTCGACGCGTTAGTTACTGCGATCGCAATATTAAAAAATACGCGAACGATCGGAAATTGTAATGTCGTTGCAAAGTAATATCTCAATCGTTCCACGAAAACGACCTCGACGGATTCCGAGAGATACCACGGATCCAGGGAAAGAACAGGACCGAAATGCTATTAAAGCGAACGAGCCACAGGGAGAAAAAGAGGAGAACGTTGGCACATTGATCCAGATGAAGGTCGCCCCGTTTCCTTGGAATAATCACTAGCATCTGAATGATCGAAAGGGATCGTTTGTTCCACGTTTAACCTCAGTACACTTTAAAAAAACGAGTGATGGGAGACAAGACTCAATATTTATTACCTTCCCTTTCACAGAATGTGAGATATACGTCAGAAGAAACCTTGCAGTAAGTCACACAAGAGTCGCGGCGACGAGAGGTCCTTAAGAATTTCGAATACACGAATTCCTGAATAGAAAAAACGCAGCACTATTGCGCGAATCGCGTGAAACTGGGCGACAAACAATCCCATTTTGCACAACAAGGATCTCTCCAACGGAACACTGGAGACACCGATAAGCGTCACGCATGTACGCCTCTGACCACGCATGTAAGTTCTCCCTTTGCACGCAATCACGTTTCTCGATATTTTGAGTGATAGAATCCCAACCGATTACAAAACTCGGCAGTCGCTGGGCAAATCGGTGTTAAGTCGCGCAGAAAAACCTCACAATTTTACCGTTTCGCCAGAGATACCAACTGATTATCAACTCTTTTTTAAGTGATGAAATGCGTTTTACATTTTCGTTTCAACATTCACGCGTAAAATAGTTTATTGTTTTTCCACTGACATTTTCAATCAAAATTGCTATAAATACTTTGTAGAAACACTTCTACTCGGATAAGTAAAACGCGTCACGCGGCGGTTGGATCGCGTGGGCGGCTAATAATCTTCAGATTGGGCGATAGGACGCCCAACGAAAGCCCTTTTCACGGAATTCCAAGTAATCTCGACACGTCCGACGGAACGTTGTCTTAAACGTTGGTTATCTCTGGCGCGGCCAACGTGGATGGTTAAAGACGGTTGTAAACGATCATCGAGCTGCTATTAATTGGCACCGTGTCTTTCGCTGCGTGGGCAGCAATGCCATTCTAGAGGATAGAAAAAGACACCGTTAAAAATAACAGGTCGTTAAGGAGATTTTAATGATTCCACGCTGATTGGAATAGCATGACGAAAGCAAAGAACGATGCTATTATGCTAATTAGCGATGAAGATAACTTGGAATTTTACATTTCCTTTATTAAATCATCGATCATTCGGTTATGTCATTTTATTCATGTTGTTTTATCAACATCGAAGATGAACCCATATTGCTCCGAGATTCTTTCTAGATAAATTTCCCTCGCCAAGTGATTTTGGTCGCGACAACTTCCTCCTTCCTCGTTCGGGATCATTCTCGAATATTATGGGACGATTAGGTGTGTCGCTAATCCGGTAGGCACTGCCCCGGACGAGGCCAGGGACGGTTGTCGACAGGGAATGCCTATTGTATGTACCGGTCATCGACATTTACTCGATTATTTACAGTGTTGTGTAGCAGAGTAACGGATGTCATGAGATTTCTTTTGATCTTATTCCAAAGCCACCTAAGACAACGCTCCTTTACAGCTTCCTCCGAGCCCAGAAATCACCACGACGTTTGCACCAAGAGTTGTTCACCATTGGACATTTTTCTCAACCTTAAAATTTGAAGGAATAAATTGAAGTAACAAAAAACGCTATTGTTGTTTATTATATCCAGTTCGTGATGGTTGCGTCTGAATCATCATGAATTGATTACTTAAGCCGTTACCAGAAATTCCGTCACGGTTACTGAAATTTCACTGAATTCTTTAGTTTTGTGGCATTCATGCGTGAAATGTTCGATTTATCAAAATTACTCAACATTTCGACAATCGATTGCCACTTTTTTGCGATGAGAAATACTAAATCTTCTATAGGATTATAATTATAATTGTTATATCACAGTATTGAGACCTGAAAAAATTAAAAATACTTCTGTTTTCGCGATGTACTGTATGGCATATATGTTTATTGGTGTATCCAGGCCTCGAATTGCACTGGGAAATTATTACGCCGTAATGAACTTGTCCCAATTAGGCGGTTGGTGCTCGTTAGAAATGATTGTTTAGGCGCAGGGTGTCATTGTTCGCGGCGTTTCGCAAAATGTAATTGCCTCCAAAGCTTATTAAGAACTCGGGCGTAGCAATACGTGACGGAATCTCTTGGAATTTGCATCGAAGACAGCGTTCGAGGATCATTGGAACCATTACCATATGCGAAGCGTGTGAAATAATGACTCGAATGATTTCTGTTTGATTGAAACTGGGTTGCAGCCCTTAAAGGGCTTTATATAATAATAGGATACACCGAAGGAAGGTTAAATTTAATGAATTGCGTGAATTTTGTATACGTTATGAATCACTAGAATTAATAAAAATAATAGATTTAAAAATTCAAATCTTTCATTATGTTATTTTCCAGCTGTGTGAAAATTCGCCTTGCAGAGATCAAGATTCGAACCTAATCAGCCTCAGTGTCAAAAGTTTCGATCGTTTTTTGCTCAATTTGAACAATCGTGCGATTACAATGGTCGCGTTTCCATCATTGACGCAACGCGATCATTTCGCCTAAGTCTGTTCGTTTCTTTCACTATTTACCTGTCTCTCTTTCTCGGGATAGTAATATCGGTTTGCCTCCCTTCTTGATCGAGCTTCTCTCATTCTCTTTCTATGATATTTACCTATCCATCTATCTCCCTCTACCCCCTGATTTCTGCATTGCCAAATAGAAATGTCTCCCCCCCCACCTGTCTACCTGGTTGGTGCTTATTATGTGAAAATCAAGCGGAACGCGTGCGTGTGCGTGTAAATATTTCACGTACACCGATCTGCCGACTGCTTACCGTCGGCAAAGTGGGCGCTTGTATTGTTCCACGACTATATAAGGTGTACTCGGCCCATTCGACCAGCAGAAAACCATCAGCTCGTGGATCCTATAGCGAACATGAGATTCCTTGTGAGTAACGATACGGTTATTGTCGTGCATCTATTCGATTAGATACGTCTCTTCTCGTGGTGTACTTGGAGGGTTGAGGTTTCGTAGTTGACGTTATAGTTTTGTTTTTAGTTTCGTTGTAGTGATGTCACTTTTCGTGTCACTTGTTGGAAGCTGTTCCTATCAGCATTTTCTCTTTCAACTTTCCAGCTTCTTTTCTCGTGCCTCGTCTTCTCGGCAACGGCCCGGCCAGGCTACGCGCCATATCCCGCTTATGGCGTGGCGTACCATGGCCCACCAGCCCCTTTGGCTCACGATGGAAGGGTGATAGACACCCCTGAAGTGGCCCACGCCAAGGCTGCGCACCTAGCTGCCCATGCTGCAGAGGCTGCCAAGGCTAGTCCTCTCGGCTACTCTGGTGATTACTCTGAAGATTATGGTGCATCCTACGGTGCCCCAGTGCAGGTAGGTTTCCGCTTATACGATCCATAGAATTGTTAAATCTGAGCTAGTAAAATACACCGTCAAGATTACTCGTTAAAGCTCAAGAAATCCCATACTACTACTTCCATACGAATTATGCCAAGTCAAAATATAATTTTAATGATTGTAGACGCTTGTTAATTTGTAATTTTTAGATGCAGAGCGCATACCATGGACCACCAGCCCCCTTGGCTCACGACGGACGAGTGCTCGACACCCCTGAAGTTGCTCACGCAAAGGCGGCGCACTTGGCCGCGCACGCCGAGCAGGTTTCGAAACTAGCTCACCTGTCCTACGCCGAGCCCTACCCGCAGCCTCATTGGTGACGACCAGGAGAGTAGATGGATCATTGGACGAGACCGACTCTACCACCAGAAACTATTGATGATTGAATTGCAGTTCTAGAGTCGACGATTTTGTACCATGTATTTTAGGATAATTTTTGTTAATTCTCTTGGTTCTGGATCGGTTCTGTACTTGTGTAACATTGTGGAAGACGCGAGGCTCGAGAAATTTATTTTATTAATAGTTATTATATAGTTATTGGATTACTGGGAACGGCGACGTGTTTGTTACGGTTTGATATTAAAGTGATTGCAATTATTTAACGACCTTTCGATGATTTTATTTATCCTTGACGAGTTCCTTCTTTTCCTACATACTTTTATATGCTGTATAATGAATAATATTCTAGAATCACAAACGTTAAGTTTTATTAGTTTAGGCTCTGTAAAGTAGGAAACTATTATTGTTTATTCTTATGTCATTCACACGTCCTGTGATACATTAGTGACAAATGCTCTGTCTTTTTCAAATGCTCTGTCCTTCTCAGTCGCCATTTTCACCCACCCATGTTGCCGTGCTGTCACGCGGTGACACAAGTGGTGCATTCAACTTTTTTTTTTTAAATAACAAACGTTGCGACAGTTATCCTGGTTCAAAGACCACCTCGTGCATTGTTCGCGTGCTGATCTGAACGGGACCGAGCTTGTCGCCAACGCTTCGATAACGAAACAGGAGTTGTCAGGAATGAGATTCTAGCACTGGTTGCTTGCTTTTCTTATACCTACTCGCCTCTCGATCGATACCTAAATATTCTAATACTAAAAATGGTCTTAGGGATCATTGCACTTTGATTTTTTTTATCTCGATCTTGACATGTGATTTTTCTATTTTTAAGTTCCTTTGTTCCAATAATCAAAAATTGTAATATTATGTATTCGAGAAATTTTATACGAATTTCCTTGCGTCAGCTGTTTTATTACGTTAGCGTAACATCGATTTATCGCTTGATTGATCACAACTGTTCGAGCATTATTCCATTGCATCAAGGTCGATGTCACGAATAACTTCTTGGATTAGTATTTCACGCTCCTGGAATGCATATATAAAATTTATTGTATTTTCAAGGAATGATGATAAAATCCATAAATAAAAGTACTACATATCCAATTTAATTATAGAATTACATTCACGAGCAAAGTTACATAATTTATTTCTAATTGTGGTAAATAATCTGCTATAAAAAATAAAACTGATCAAACTATGTCTACAAAGTTTCCTTCAACTCAAGTCTATGAGAAACATGTCCTGTGCAGTCGCCGTAAATCAAATCATCGGCGAGCCTTTCTATGCAAGCGTTGAAGTCTCCGCGCCAGTCGTCGCTTCTCATTAGAATTCCACTAATATAATCCATCGCTCAAGCCTGTAGCTAATTTACATTGACTACTATCACTTAAATTAACTCTATATTTGCATTTTTTTCTCGACTTATCTCAAATGGAAGCCTTCTTATGTTAACAATGATTTGACCCTTACATTTAAGTACCGACGAAACACCATTTAAAAAATGATACTCAAATGCAAAAGTAAAATACTACGAGTGTCTTCACTATAAGAAGACTACTTTCTATATTTATAAAATATAATTTGTATAAAATTACGTTCCACTAATTTGTTTTATTGTTTATATGAAGCGTCGCGTCACATGTGACTTGAGAGTTCTAGGGAAAAATAGTTTAGCCACGCCCTCGTAGTGCAAAGGGTTAAATAAAATTGTTTAATGCATTAAAAAAATATAAATAAAATTAATTTGAATAGTTGAATATACACTAAGGTTCCCACCAGTTGTAGAGATCTGACCACGCTAAATACCGAGGAATTGAATCCGCGATGACGTGCGTGTCGCATAGCTCTGCTGGGAGGTGAGTTTTATTCTTGACGAGGTTACGGGACACGATGTCATTGTTAATGCTTGGTAAATGTTACGGGGCACGGCAGCCAGCCTTAAGGAGAGCATTTTCCTGGGTGTGGTTATACCCCGTTGTCGAGGCTGCCTTACAAGGGGTGGGGCACTTGCCAGAACCCCTATAAATTGAACGATCCACGATTGTGGAAGCCATAATGCGGATCTAAACCTCTAACAATAGTCGCTGGATCGACGTACCAAGAGGTTCGACAAGATGATGCAGTACCTCGTGAGTACATTGTGTCTTCCTTATATTTCGTCTTTGCTTGCAAAACTTTTTTTACGTTTCTATATTTCCATATCAATTTTTCATTATAAATACATGTATACATGCGTGAAGTTTATTCATGTAGATATTCATAATGGAACATTTATTTGGAAATATTAAGTTTACCATTTAATTTAGACAAATGTGTTTTTTACACTATCTTTTCATCTCTGTAATAGTCTTCTCTTTAAAATAATAAAATGATTAATGTCAGAGAGATAGTTGAAACAATCTTGACTAAACAATCTATAATCGTTCACATCAAGTGACAATATTTACAGCAATTTTCATTTATTTCCAGGTTCTTCTTTCGGCAATTCTGAACGTAGTTTTTTGTGCGCCGCAATGGTACGGAGGTGGGCATCCTGGAGCCTATGGTGGCCACGCGGCGCCTGCACCACTGGGACCTGATGGAAGAGTGGTCGACACGCCGGAAGTGGCGCAATTAAAGGCAGCGCATTTGGCAGCTCTAGCTGACGCCAATGCCAGAGCACCCAAGGGTCTGGGCCCTGCTGGTCCTTACTCCGGACCTGCTGGTCCCTACGCACCTTCAAACTACGCGCAGTACAGGTTTCACACATTCTTTCATACCATAGAAATTTCTATCAAGTAATCAGTAACGTCAACTTATATCGGTTCATTTATAACGTTTATTTGTGCATTAGGAAATATTGCATTGTGCGTAATTAAGCTTCTAATTTTCATTTGTTTCATTATGAGATATTTCATTCTCAAATATTATTTCTCCGTGTCATTATTCTTTACATCTATCTCTCCATAACTTTTATTTCTGTATCACAGTGGACCACCAGCACCTCTGGGACCGGATGGTCGAGTGGTAGACACTGCGGAAGTGCAACAAGCCAAGGCCGTCCATTTCTCCCTGTACAACGCAGAAGCTCAACGAGCGCCAACGGCTCCAGCTGGTCCACCACCACCTCCTCATAACCCTTCGTGGAACCCTGCGGGTGGCTACAACCCTTCCAATCCATGGGGTTAGGCAAACAATTGGAGTAATTGCAACGCATCGATCATGAAAACCACGAACGACGTAACAAAACAGGTTTCATTCCTTCATTCCGAACGATGCTTTGAAAGGATCTATGATCTCGACATCCTTTCCACGCATCGTGTTCGATCTACCTCTGAATGCCAAGTCTGCCAAAAAATCGACGCAACGATTCCTCTATTCCTTCACCCTCCAAAATCGACGCGTCGATTTTTCTCTTCCCTTTCTCTTCGAAATGGAAATGATAATATGCATTGGAAAATTAACATGATTTTCCAATTTCCTTTATCTACCTCCATTTCAAAGCTTCGCTATTCTTTCGAACATGTTTTCCTCCCATGCGATTGCTCGGCTGTGATTTGCAATCGCGTTCCAACTACCTCCTCTCGGGTTTGAACTCTGTCCCACGGATTGCTTGTCTTCGACACGCTATTTTCTTTAGAAAAATATACTTTCATTTCGAAATCGATGTTCCCAACTTTCTTACCATTTTGGAGTACATCCTTTAATTTTAATAATGAACAAGTTTGTTTATTTAATCTTTCTGGAATAGCACACCTACACTTTCTTATTACATGTGGTACTACTCAGGTGGATTTCCCACCTAAAAATCATTGTCTCGGTATGTTGTTGGATAATGCAAATGAACTAACGGAGAGTTGTACCGTTACAGATGTTATCGAAGGTTTGTGAAACTTTCGTTATCACATTCCTCCTCAAGGTGATCTCCTTATCGATTTCGCGTTTGTTAGTCAAGGAAAGTCTGCGTTCATGAGGAAAGTAACCTTTGTTTGTGGATTATTTATAGGCGATATTCAATGTTATCGTTTGTAAATGTACATTTGTAAATGATCACCTGTATGTGTATATAATTGACACATTATGCATGTACAATTAGAAAAGAATGAAACGGTTATAAAATCAGCCATTGAACGTTCAGAAACAATGTTGGAAAACCCTTCGTTAAAGAAACACAGTTGACCACCGTTGCTTTAATCGATCGCATAATCAGCCGTCACGTGCGGTGAACCATGCCTGTGACATGCATCGGATCAATTCGTGCTCGGCCCTGGAAAACACGGTAGTGAAAACGGTGTTTAATCTAGAACGTGTAAATCTGATTGCGCCGAGGAATTTAGGTAGATGCATAATCTCGACACGTGCACATAGGCGTGAAAACGATCGTTGCTCGAAACAAAATGAATTGGTAGCTCAAGGCTGCCCAGACGTTCCCCCATCTCACAGACTATTCTCACCTTTACTTTCCGCACGATATAACCGATGTTTTATATCTTCGAAGCATCAGACAACGAAACGTAAAATAAAAGTAGAAGTCGAGCAGTTCTGAACTTTGGAGTGTTCACCCTGTCGCATTTCTGGTCAAGCACGGTCAAACACGTCCTTGCCAGCAACAGGAATTGCCGTCTAACGTGCTGGGATAGGCGTGCTACGTTTACGTGTTGTCCAAGTCATGGACAGAACCGGTTCCATCGGCTGTGTCTGCTCGTTGAATAAGTGCAAGGCTTTGACCCGGCGGACCTACCGGTAGCAGACACGACTCATGGATCGTTTGCTGGGTCGCGAACCGTTTCTCTCGATCTGTATCGCTCGTAATTGACTGTTTAACTGCGCTGCAGATTGAAATTAGAGTCTGCATTCAAGGAAAGTGAACGTTCGGTAATAAACGATCGAAATCCCGTCTGAATTTATTATTGCAGGGCGGAGTAGATCAGGCTGTGAACGTCATTTTATGGCTGCACTTATCAATTTTTAATCTCAAGTATAAATAGAAGGGTATTTTTTATTAATCAAAATATACATCTTCAAAGGTGCGAGGCAAAAGGTTGACGACTACAGGACCTCGTTAGCATTTTTATTTCATCGTAAACAATACAAAATATAGAATACATATCGGTGGTAAAGGACAGAAATTCCAAGTGCAAAATTTTCTCATTTCGATACATTTTAATATATAATTTAATATATTTTGCGAGTATTTCTTAAAATCTACGTTAACATTTCACAATTATCAACAACTGTGTATGGCAATAAAATTCAAATTGCAACACCAGCAATATGAAACGTTTGTATTAATATAAAACAATGGATATTAACATTAAATTATTTACAAGCATTCGAACTTCGTCGGATAGTTTTATAAACGACAAACCAAGTCTCGTGAAGCGTAAAAAATCAGGTACGATACGAACTGTGTTTCACATAATTGCTCCTGCGTGTAAAAATTACATTGCGTGGTTTTCACTGTCACGAGAATTGTCAAGAAAACAGTTTGATATTTAATATATTAATTTTAGAATGTAACGAATTCAATGAAGTTCAGGTAAAGGGAAAGAAATTATTGTTGTTTTTGGTATTAACCAGCGAACCTAAAAGGATGGAAAAAAAAGTCGGAGAAAATACATCACAAAAATACTGATCCTTTCAAATACAATGCTGAAACTGACTGCCTGAATTTTTAAATCAAAAGCAACCATAAACTAAAAATTGCTTCCTAACATATGTTACAGATATCTATTTACCTGAAAAACTTTGAATTGCATTTAAAAACATTCTTTCCCTTTCAGTAGTAAAGATCATTGTGCGTAGAGAGCGCGAGAGCACGAGCACGAGCTTTCATGTGAGCATCACGCGCTCTCTTCACTTCCGGTGTGTCGATGACGCGACCATCGGGGCCCAATGGCGCCAGGGGTCCACGATAAACCACCGCTGGCGTGTGTTTGTAAGCGACGCGAACAGGGGTCAAGTAAATCAAATTTCTTTGACCGTCATACACGTCTAAGTCGTAATATTCAGTCGCTTTCGACGCTGCGCGTGCATGTGCTGCCATGTGGGCCTCCTTCGCTGCGGCCACCTAAAAAAAACCACAAAAAACTACATGAGTAACTTAAAAATAAGAACAAAAAAAATGGCAATTTTGATTGAATTCAATGACATGAAAGATTTCTTCCTAAGGAACCAGATTTCACACAACAGATACTCTTACATTGAAAAGTGTAAATTTAGCAATACGTCTCGATAAACGTAGATTAGTATTTAGCGGAACAGTTCAGAGTTGACATTTGACTGACATAAGTTTTAAATAATAATAAGCCCACCTCAGGAGTGTCGATGACGCGTCCATCGCGACCCAGAGGAGCGAACGATCTCGGTCGCTGACGCTTCTGCATCATCGGCTCTTCCATCGTGCGAGGCGTGTACATCATGTCGTTGTTGTCGTACATGTCATAGTCATTTCGAGCCTTCCTCAGCCTGGCCATAGCCTCCGCGTGCATCGCTAGGTGCATAGCCTTTGCGTGAGCCACTTCCGGTGTGTCAATGACGAGGCCATCGCTCGAAAGAGGCGCTGCTGGGCCTCGATATTGATAATATTCTTTCTCTTGGTAGCTTTCTGCAATGGCTGGCGCGACCAACGCAGCCAGCACTATCTGAAAAGTTCCAAAAACAGAATTAGATCACCATTTTTCAATGGATTAAGTCGTATCTGATAAATACAGAGTAGAAATTATATTGTAAGATTATTATTAAGGCTTATTTAAGAAATATAAATATATTATGAGATTTTTTTTTTTTTGAATACTTGTTTGTTTCTCTTTTGTTTTGATTTGCCGTTCATTGAATCGAAGTTTATTGCCGATCAGTGGTATTAATTAGTGCACTAATGTCATTTTCACCTAGTTAAATCGCACTTACAATTAATCTCATGCTGCAAAGACACCACCAGTCACGAAACGGACGTCTTAGTTGCGAGAGTGTCACATTCGATCCGGTCGATCTAGCTTTTATAGCGTCGCGGCCTCAGCCCGCGAAACCACCTAAAGACCATCACACATAAGACGAAATCGATACCATAATTGTTTCGTTTCCAATGCATGTACTAACCATGACCCTGTGCAATACATTCCACTTCAATGAAATTTATTTTCAACACGGAATTATTTTCAACATAATTCCTTTGCAAAAATAATCAAAATTGAGATCAGATTATCGAATCAACCCTCCTTTTTAGTAATTGAGTGCGAATAGTTGACTAATAATTATCAATATATAATTCTGTATAATAATTAAGAATATGGTAATAGCCGAAAGCTATTATAATCCTCCATTACATTGTAGAGAAACTTAGAATATTATTAATTGTATATTTTCCATATTTTTAATAATTATCCCACTGTTATTTTAAAGAATTTAAGATGAAGATCTTGGACGAAAATGTTTAATAAAAATAATATCACTTGTCGAATGACCAACTAAATACAAATTTATTTCAAGCATTTCTAGAGCATTGTCTACGTTTGAATTAATTACGTTAGGGATTATTAATGTTGCGCCAGTTGTCCTCAAACGTCCCTGATGTTTCGTCTCATCTTTTCGAGGTCAGTTTTCACGTTTTGCGATTTTACCCCATCACCGCAAGCAAGGCGATGCAACTTAGGCAGTTTTCTGCGGTTTCAAAACACGCCCGATTCACGGACGACTAGACGGGATCATAGATCCTCCAGTGATCCCTTCAAGGCAGTCCTCTTTCTCGCTCCCTTATAAACGGTGGCCTAGAAAGAGCCTCTGCCAATCACTCCTCGATCAAGCTTCAAAATTCGTTTGTTATACGAATCTTATTATTCGCTATGCATCGAAATTTTAATTACCGAATATTCCGAGAAATCGAAGCGATTTGCGATTGTTTCTTAACGACCAGATTTCCACCTAATAATTTCTCGTCCATGCATTCAGAAAATGGCAACCCGAATAAGTTACAATTCTCGACCTTTCTGTTGGTAAAAACGACGAATCACGATGCTCGAGTTCGTTCAGGAGGAACGAATCTCCGTTCCCCAGATCGTTTCTTCTCACGTCTTTCGTACACCGGTGACCTATGTTGTAATATTCACGGTCTACCGTTAGATTAGAACCACGTAAAAGGTAATTCCTCTTCGATGAAGTTTTTAATTTAGTTTAATTATGGCATACTATGATATACTATATTAATATTATTACTGAAAACATTGTTGAGTATATCATTGCATTGAAGAAACTATTCTAAACTGTTATATTAACTCGGTATCTATACCGACGACGAAACTGTTTTTACACTTCCTTTCAGGTGAAATTGCGCGTGCAGAAACCGCAATCGCACGAGAGAATCGTTACGAATAATATCTCTGAGCCAAAGTCTTTTTTATCCGCAATAGCAATTGTTTTATATCTTTCCTGTTGCCACTTTGATTTTTATCTCGATTGTGTACACGAAATTTTCGCAAACTCCCAACTCGATTTCGTTGGGAGAAATATACACACGTAAAGAGATGAAATTTTCGTTTCTTCTCTGACAAAAAAAATATACGATATATATTAGTTTCTTTTACATCGAAATTAATTAAATGATTGATTGATTGATGAATTCTGTAAATGATTGATGATTCTTGACGAAAGAAGTCAAGACTAAGCGGCCATGAAGAAGTATTCCCGCTAACTCGATCCAACGGTGGACTTCTTTCTAATTCTTGGATTACGTTAACCGCAATGCATAGCGAAATCGAATGTAGGCTAACCTGCGGTTTCGCACAACCTAAACGCGTTGGTAATTTATTCGCATGGTGCGTAGATTCGGTGACTCCATGATCCACTATCAAAAACCGCGTGTTTGTTACAAGCTAACCTCCTTACAGTTGAAAAATATACAATAATACGACACACCAGGTGTTTCATGAACTAGCATTTTTAAATATTTTATAAAGGAAAAAAGTAAATGATTTTGAGAACAGAATGCATGAAATTTGAGTCTACGATCAAAATTTTCTTGTTTTTATTACTTATCACTAATTGTATTTGGCATACATAGTTTACTTCGAAGTATAAATGTAATTGCTTATAAAATATAGGCTTGCATAGAACTTTCTTTATAGTTGATCTCGCATCGAAATTCTCTACATTTTTAAGCAATTTTGCTCACAGATTATCTAGGTATATAAATTTTAAACTGTGGCACTGACTATACTACTCGAACTGGACGACAGTTCCTTCCCATGCATTGAATTCTCCAACCATACGCATCTCTGCGTTTTTCAAGGAACTGTTTCCACTTTAAAGCTAAAAATGTACCCAAGTAACAACAACGCCATTCATTGACTGACACTGTCCTACATTATATTAAAACTATCCCAAATTATTTATTGTTCGTTATAAAACAGTCTCTTGCATTAATTTTCACTATGCTCTTTATGATTTTTTTAAAATCATATTGACGTATTCCTGTATACCATAAATCACAAAGGAAGAAGATCAAAACGAAGGAAACAAATTTATGTAAAAAAAAGGGGGAATCAATTTATTGGCCTAGATTATGTACAGATGTTGCGATTGTTCAAATTTCCACGATCAGTAAGCTCCGACTAGCTGCTGCGGTTGGTAACCCTGCGGCTGATAAACTGGCTTTCTAAACGCGGCTTGGGCTGGAGGATGCGAAGGTCCTGGACCAGAAAATACCTGTGCAGGGGGGGGATTGTATTGTCCCACGTTATATGGAGCAGGGGCGGCTGCGGGCCCAGAATAAGCTGGAACAATTGAAAGCAAACCAGTTCTTATCATCCCATCAATTTTAAAGCATCGATTTAATATTGTTTAACAAACAGTTTTATATTACACAATGAAAAATTACATGGCAATTATTTATAGTACGGTATTAAACTAAATATATTTTACTTTATAATACTTTGCCAATTTAAATCCTCGGTCCATATGCAAAGTACTATTCGCAGTTTGCATGCATTCCGTTAGTGTGAAACAAGTTCGTGACCCGTGATGGCATGGTTAAAATATTCGTGACGAAGAATAGCTGGTTCATGATTATATTCTCTAACGATTAGTGCTCCTACGGGCCATTCCCACAAGAACAATCGAACGATTAAGTTGTTGAGCAAGACTTCGACTGCTCTGTTACATTATGCTGCTACAAATGTATCTATAGCTCGCCAATGGTACTGTCTGCGAAACACATTATCCCGATGCTTCCTTACTTTTTCGTTGTCAACACTTTAATTACTGAAGCTTGACTTCACAGAAAAAGCAGATAAAAGACTCCTTTACGATCGTTTAAGAATAAGTTCAACTCTTTCTCTTGTCCTTGTGGAAACATCACGCTACGAGCGCCATGGGGAAGTCACTGGCCTCGACAGTGACTGTCAGAAATTTGTTCAGAGGATATCCTTGGGCGTGAACGTACCTTGACCTTGGACTTCCGGTTTGAATTCTTGGGCAAACTTGTAAGCTCTGGCTTCGGCGTCGGCCAGCTCGGCCAACCTGGCGGCCTTAAGAGCGGCCACTTCCGGTGTATCGATTACGGTTCCATCGTCGGCCAGGGGTGCGGGAACGAAGGCGGTAGGTTTAACATTGTTCGACGCATAGCTTTGCTGGCCAATGTAATTCGCGTTGTCGCTATACTGAGGTTGATAGGCCACCGGGTTTGGTTGACTAAACGCTGGGGCAGGAGCTGCAATTTTGAACATTGTTAAAATTAACATTGTTAAAATTAACATTGTTAAAATCGTTAAACCTATCATTTAAATTAAACAAATTTTTTAAATAAACATAGAGGATACAAATACTTATGGGCCTGACTGTATTTGCAATTAGAGTAACACGTGCAATGCCCGGGATCATTGTACACTTAATTATTGTGATTCATGAAGTCTCCGTAAAAATGTTACCCGGAGCAGACTGATACGCGGGAGCAGGAGATTGATAGCTTGGTTGTCTGACATAGGTCGGAGCTGTTGGTTGCGCCGAGGGGTAGTTGTAGGTTTGCGCCGGAGCCGGGGGGCTGTATTGAGCGGATTGGGGTTGGTTTTTGAGTTCCTCAGCAGCTCTAGCTGCAGCCCTGGCGAACTCTGCGAAATGCGCAGCCTTGGCTTCAGCCACTTCCGGTGTATCGATCACATTTCCGTCTTGACCCACTGGCGCTGGAGGCGCGTATCTTATGGGTGCGGGTTGGGCATGTATCTGGGGTTCACCGAATGAGGGGGAGTTGACGAAACCTGCCCTGCAGCTGACAGCCACGGCGAACAAAATGATCTGAAATTGTTTGAAATTAGTAGATTGTAATATTATACATTTGTGTAATTTGTGTGATATTTTTCTTCGGATTCTATACAACCCCTATATCCCAAACCTAATGCAGAGAATAAGAGCCTAAAGTGTATGTAAAATGGAGCCGCAGCAGTCGACCATTTCGCTCGATGTCCGCGTGGGCTTCCCTGACCCGGCCGAGTGACCCTATCCACCCTAACCTTTCACTTTCCTTTGTTCGCTGCTGGCGTCGAGCGAATTCTGATCGAATCGATCTCGTCCAGCGCAACCAGGACTCACCAAGCCTTTCATGATGTCCCGGAATCGCTATCGTTTCGGTCTCTTTCTCTGGCTGGTGGTTCCTCCCCTTGTTCTGGGCTGGCGTAGCGCTGCTGATGGACAGTACTCGCTAGTTTCCGCTCCAGCCGTGGTACTCGGCCCGGTCTGACGTTTTGTGTTCCTGGAGAACGGCTAGGTGGTACCATTTATAGCCGTGATCATCCGCCCCCTCTCACGTGGACGAGGAGGCCACGACCTGGAGGGAGCCAGGAGGTGATCGGCGAACCCACGTCTGCCTGGGAAGCTCAGGAAAAAGGACACTCCCTCCTTTCGGTGCTCCGTGCCAGGACCTTGGCATTTGAGCGAGGTCCCCGCACTCCTGGACCGGAAGGATGTGATTGTGGGCGAAATCCGAGACTTGTGTGGTGCAAGCGTTTCTTGTGGTGTGAGGGAGGCCAGGACTTTCTACGGGGACAGCTATGGGAGGACTCGAGTGACACACATAGAAAAATTCAAAGGATAACTATTAGTAAAATGAAACCAATGGTCAAAGGGAGCGCTATTGGTTTAAATGAAGTTCGTGAAATCGTGCAACAATAAATTGGTGTTAAATTCAAGTTGTCATATTTTATCGAAAAGTAGATTATTAATTTTGAGTACTTAGGACATCGTTCCATGAATTAAAAAATATTGCAATGGGGGAAACAGTTGGAATTACCCGTCTAGCAGTTGCAAACATGAGAAACCACGTGTGACTTGTGCAGCATGTGAGAAGATCGTTACGTCACGTCAAGGATGTTACATCTGAGACATATTTCTCTGTAATTATGCTTGAGAAAAGGTGATCGCATCACCCGTGGGAAATTATTTTTATTGCCACCATGTTCCAAGATTTACTTCCGAATTGGAATTTTAAATTATACGTATAAAATAGAAGCAACCATAATTTTGACAATAGGTGCTGCATTTCTGGAACATATATTATTTATTTTATCTTGTTTGCGTCTCATCGAACTTTGAACAGAGGTGTGTGCTGTGTTAAACGACTTACAACCCTGAACGAACCGAAGGACTCGAGACCGAAGGACGGTGTGTGCCGAGAATGCATTCCCATAATTTTTTTCCACTGCATGCAATATATTATAGGCAGCGCAGTTCATTCGTTGGGTGAAAGAAATCAGGCGTGTATGAAAAGTCCCTATCCCGGGCAATTACTTCAATCATTTTATACAATAATTATTATTTTGCTAAGCTCCGATTTTAAATTCAATGTAATTTCTATGTTCTCACTTATTCCAATTTTAAATTCGTCCAAGCAAGAAGTTTTGTAGCCCGTGTGTATGGAATAAAACAGCTGCCTACATAATACATACATTTTTATTCATTTATAAAAAAATAAAGCAAAAACTCCAAGAGAATTGTTTTGTTAGCAGATTGCATACATCTGATTGGGAAATGACGGGTATTCGGTTAACGCGTGTCACAATCGACGTCGGCAGTTTACAAACGGCGACACAATAGTTGTAAAATGTTTCAGTAATTGCGTGCGAGTAAGGTTAGAAAGTTAGCCTTTTTTCCTTGGATCAATTGCGTGTAACCCTTTGATTACGTCAGAAAGGAATCGGGATTCGTTCAGTTGTTGCATTTTGGACGTGTCTAGCTTCAGGGGACACTAAGTTTTCGCCATTGTATCTCTTAAATAATACTTAAATCTTCCTAAAAAAATTCCTACTACCAACTAAAAAACAAGGAACATCGTCAAAAGAAAACGTGGTAACAGGTTAAATACCGCTTTATTAAATCAGCCCACGTCACATGTATGAAACCTAAAAGAATATTGGAACCAAAGTTGACGAAGGAATCTGACCCACTTCCGGTTCATCGGAAGAAGTATCTATTGTACGTAGGGGCGGAGTACGGATAGTACTGCTGAGGAAAATCATAACTCTGCCTGTTAGCTCCGAATTCCCGGTTAAATTTTTCATTTAGGTGAGCTGCTGCGTGTTGTGTTTTCGCTATAGCGACTTCCGGCAGGTCCACGACGCGGCCATCCGGTCCCAAAGGAGCAGCAGTCTTGGCTGCTTGGTAAGCAAGGGTGAACCTCTCGTTGATGTGCGCCAAAGCATGTTCTTCCTTGGCCTGGGCGACTTCCGGTGTGTCCACTACGCGATCGTTTAGGCCAGTGGGAGCTGAACCCAGCCTCCTGATGCTGAATGGGGATGTCAGCGTTGAGAAGTAGGGGTTTAGCAAATAGTCTGGGCGGGCGAAGGCTACTGCCAGTATGGAGGAGAAAATCATATGAAAAAGAAGGAGAAGCGATTGTCAGAGCAGAGCCCCAATTAAGATTTGGCGCCCTTGGGGAATTCTCGGCGTGGTGTTCTTTTTAATTTGTTTAAATAACATGAATACCTAACGAACTGGTTCACTATTTACGAAGCAAAAATTGTTATGACATGTATACAGTGGAGAAATGAATTAACCCGTGCATTTATGAGATTTTACAACCTTATTGTAACTGTGTTCTTTTGTTTTCCTTTATGATTTATCAATGTAGGACATTGGTAATGCATATTCAGTCGATAAAACAGTCGATACTCGGCCGATTTTGTTCTGTTGGTAAAGTAAAAACTCTGTTGATAAATCCTTCGATCAAGTAGAGCGTTGCATTGCCCAGTCTTGCCACCAGAGTGCACTACATTACCGAAGGTGTATTCTACATTGCCTACATTTTTCTCTTTCTCTACTCGCATAGGTGCACGAGGAACTTGATACTCTACTGACTTAGCAATACCTCCACTATTACAAAGAGTTACTATGATTGTTAAATATTTACGTGGATAAGGAAAACTAAAATAACTCCGTTAACTACGACTTTTCCAGTTTACACACTCTTTACTATTTGAATGATTTTGATGATGTGTGTAGTACCGATGACCACCGACTTCCTCGTTGGGAATCCTTTCCTCTCCATGTGTTGCATTGTGTGTGAGTTTCGGCATTCGTACTGCAGACGACCGGTTTTATCACATTTATAATATATTCTGTCTTGAACACATTTGAATTTGAACCATTTCTTTCACTTAAATTACCTTGTTTACCGTTAACTTCGTACATTTTATTTTTTACTTTTTCACGAATTCACCTGTCTGATCCTCAATTTTCAAAACATCAACAAGGTCACTTGAGTCATTTGAGTCACTATAATCTTTAAACTTAATTTTTCTAATTTGTTTCTCACACACATTTGAAGTGCTGTTGACTGCCTCAAATATATACTATAAATCGCATTATATGTATATATGTACAATTCGTTGCTTTAAAGTCGTTTTCTCTCCACGTGACTTGTGTGTCGTTCACTCCTCTTTCTCTTATTATCACATCGTAGTAGCATTTTTTAAATCTTAAATATATCACAAGTCTTTTCTTCCACAAGCTTAGTTTTAATTCGAAGGAAGCAGGAATACTCACCAGAGTATTCATGGTGTACAAACGTGGATTTCTTGAGCGTTAGGTAAAGCACAGTATTCGCACAGGTCTCTTGGTCCTTATGGTATCCACTTTGTCTGGTCGGCTTTATATATCACCAGGATAAAAAGATTCCGCTTCATGGATTCTCCCATCTACGAGAGAACGTTTGAGTGGGTAACGCCTTGCCAAATAGAATCAGATATACCTGACATTGACATTTGGCTGTTTTTTTTTTTATTCCATCGAGAATCAAAACAAAGAGGGAAGGAACACAATCGAATTTGTCATAAGATCGATCACGAGTGACTGACCAGGAGCACGTTATCAATATTTTTTGCTCGTTCCAACGAATTTCTTACTTGTCAGTTGCGAGATTATTTATCGTTAGGAACTTAGGAAAGAATCGTCGGCGTCGTGGAGTAGGTCAGTGTCGATATAAACGTAAGCTATGATTACGGCTTACTTTGAATAATTATAATAATGAAATGACAAATTAATTATTCGTGATTGCAGGCTGATCGTGAGGAATTATTACAATTAATATAATCATGACATTAATGACATCCATACAATTAACTACACGAACGAACGTCTCTTGCGCGAAATATAACTCGCAATGATTTGCAAATGCCGTTTAAAAAGCACGATTATGATCGAGTTATGCATGCTGGATTATCGGAATTTTATTGTACCTGATAGTCTGGTCGCAGACGAGAACCTTACGCCATGTCTGATACTCTTTCCCAACATATTGAAAGGAACACCTCAGTCGAGCTTTTGGGGATATCCGAGCGCAGTATGCCCGAGGCAAAAATGTCTCTATGTGATCTAACAGGGAATAGTGCACGGGGATCGAACGACTCGGCGTCGAGATCGGTTACGCGATCGTCGGCCTTCGGCGGCGTCGACCTTGGCGACCGGGGCCTGGCGGAGAAATGACAACGGGATCGAGTGTCTTCCCGGCCTCGTAAGAGACACGAAAATGGAGCCCTCCCCAAGAATTTTTCCCGGCCGGCGACACCCGCAGACCGTACTCATTTTACAAACACGCTTACCTTGCCCCGAGGAGCGGAAACAGCAGCCGATCCCGCTTGATCGCGAGCGTTTTCTATCTTCTACAGATTTTTCTATCGTCTCCAGCACGGATAGTCATATTACTCGACCCGGCCGGCCTATAAAAGCCGATCTAGGCCGATTCGCCTCATAGTCGACCGCGTCGAACGATCCTCCTGTCAGACCGAACGATATCGCTTCATCATCGCTTCATCATCCAGTCGCCCTTCCAGCCGTTTCCAGAGGTTCGCCAAACATGGGACCAGTTGGCTTGGTGTTCGTCGCCTCGATCTCCGTGGCTCTAGCCAAGCCAGGCATCCTGTCAGCCCCGTTGCTTGCCAGGCTGACCCCTGCTGCGCCCGTCGGTCCTGATGGCAGAGTGCTGGACACAGCCGAGGTGGCTGTGGCCAAAGCTGAGCACGCCGCGGCGCACCTGAACGAGAGACTCAACCTGGCCAACGAGGCAGCCAGGTCAGTCTCGGCCAGCGTGCAGACTCTGGTTCAGCCTGGATCGGTGGTCCTAGCTGGACCGAGTCTTCTGGTACCTGGGGCGCCTATTGGTCCTGACGGCAGGGTCGTAGACACCGCGGAAGTTGCCGTGGCCAAGGCTGCTCACGCCGCGGCGCAGACCAACGAGAGAATCAACCTCGCCAACGAAGCTGCCAGATCCGTCGCTGCTGATTTGAACAGGTGACTCGCTTTTAGAATTTTTGCTTTTGAGACTACGTATCTTGCAAGTAGAATCCTCATGTTGAGAAACAAGAATAATAGTCGCAAGATATGACAGGGATTGCAGACATATGTTTCTTAAACTTTTCTAATGCATTCTATACCGATACATGTCAACATCCAAGCATTATTCTTGATCTAATCCTTAACGATCCTATCCAGGCCATTGCTGGCCTCAGTGGTTCGCGGATCAGCCATAGGTATTGACGGAAGGGTCCTGGACACACCGGAAGTGGCAGCCGCGAAGGCAGCCCACGCTGCAGCTCAAATCAACGAGCGAATTACCCTAGCCAACGAAGCTGCGAGGTCCTCTGGAGGCTTGGTGGCGGCCACTGCAGCAGGACTTCCACTGGTTACCGCCAACGCTGTGGTCGTTCGTGGGGCCCCTATTGGTCCCGACGGAAGAGTCCAGGACACGCCAGAAGTCGCCGTGGCAAAGGCTGCGCACGTAAACGCTCACCTGAACGAGAAGCTGAATCTGGCCAACGAAGCAGCCAGATCAGCGGACGTTCTTGCTGTCGCTAGCCCTGGGCTCGCCATTGGAAGACTTGTTTACTGAAGAAGAGGCTCCAGGAACAAATATTCACGCGGGAATTGCTATAGTTTATAGTCCATAAATAGTTACCTTTACTTGGAATAAAGAGATTGGCGAGAACTGTTGTTCATGTATCTGCACTGAAGTTTAGCGATTGTCCAAGACAGGAATGGACAAAATTCATACTCGAATCACGTTTATTTGTAACGTTATCGGTGACGTATGGTTGTTTTAAAGCACTTCTTTCAAGTTTGAAATTTTATTTAACGATTAACGGTTGGAATGTTATATCACGATAAGGATTTTGTCTATTTTTGCCTTACGGATCACGTTTCATTTAACAATGTATCCACAGGACACTCGCATTCTCTCGTGATTATTCAGGCTTTGTAATGAATATTTTGTCGTTGAAACAGAAATAAAAAAATATACATACTTTACCCGAATTCTGATTGAATTCCGTTGTCCCGAACCGATTATTTATTCAGCGCACATTAATCATCACTTTCCTCTGATATCGATTTGATACAATTTTCCTGTTAGCGATGCCAAGGTGTCATCATTTCGAAACAATTGAATAGTACGAAATCTACAGAATGGCAAATGAACATGTTTGCGGTGATTAAGTAAAGTGTTTATTGCCCAATTACGAATAACGAGGCTCGCCATTACAGATTGCACGACAACCGCTAATTACATGTAGTATTAAATTTCTGATTCCAGAAGAATTCGAATAAAAATAGCTGTAAGGTAAACAAAATATTGACTTCTCTGTAAGTTTCATACGCCTTCATTCTTTAATTCAGGAGCATTGAAATAAAATTCCCTATAAAGTAAGCGAAATATTTCCCATTCTATAGATCTCAAATGCATCCTCTTCGAGGAGAACTGAAAACTGCGTCTCGTAATCCTATCTGCATTCAGACTCTAACATACGACAGTTCTTTGTCTGCGGATAAACACAAAATACAAGTAATACGGACGATAAGGACCTCTTTATTCGAAGGAGCGACGTTGCTCTCAGGAATCTCTTCGGTAATGGACTATTACGCCGCACACGGATCTCCTGGACGACCCTGAGATGCGGACATATTAGGGCATAGCTCGTGGTGCGAGTTGCAACGATGATAAAAATATTCTATGAGAACACTTTCGGAGCCGGATTCCAAGCAGAGGATTTCTTGAAGACAGGCGTGACCAGTTCGGACGTTTCTTTGGTCCTTTAGTCATCCGGGATTCCGCTACGATAGAAAAAAAAGATCGTCGCATCAAGGCGTGCCCACTGGTATATATAAACAGTGTTATGCGCAGAAATTCGTGCACGTTCCATCGAGTCATCATGAAGTGTCTATACGTAAGTTCTGATAGCGAGATCGTGGGCGCAGAACGTAGTTGTCGTCGATTCACTTTTGGCTTGCTTGGGCTATAGACTTGACAGTGAGCTATACGTTATTGTGCTTGTGGAAGGTCCAGGTCACGTGGGACTAGGATTGCATAATGATTTTCAAGTGGGAATAGTTCACGTGAACTGTCAGGGTTTATTGGGATTTGCGAAGGAGGATATACACGAGTGCTTCTTATATTTGAATAGCTAAAGTGATCTAATATTTGAGCTAAAACTTGTTAATTATCTTTTTTAGATTCTGCTTTCAACTTGTTGCTTGATTAGCTCTGGCTTGGCGAAGCCAGCCGCTCCAGTCCTGAACTATCAGGACAGTTTTGGCCAATACAGTTTCGGCTATAGTACTCCAAATTCCGCGAGATCAGAGTTTAGAACTCTGAATGGCGAAACGCACGGTGCTTACAGTTACATTGATGACACAGGCGCCATCCAAAGGGCTCAGTACATTGCCGACGACAAACATGGCTTTCAAATTAGGACCACCAATGGTGCAGGGTTTCCAGTATCGGTGAGGCACATTAAATCGGTTGTTCTATCTAGAATTTGTTGTCAAGAGTATATAAAGAAATTACACTTACCAGGTGCAAAACACACAAGAAGTGATTGCAGTGAAAAAGCTTCATCCTGGAGCAGATGAAACGGAATTGAAAACACAACGGAGAATAGGAGCAAATAATATATTTTTGAAAGGATTGATATCAAATTTGCAGGGAGTCGTAGAAGGAGAAGACAAAACACAGACACAAATAAACAGAGATAAAACTGAGGAAAATTCGAAAGCTTTCGTAAAGGTATTACGGATAATTGAATCCCTTTTTTTGCTATTTTCTGTCAGAAAGAAGAAAGTGTTCAAATATCCTGATGGAATTATTTATGTCATTAATATTAACATTTGGATTGTTCAACAGGAGTTACAGACAAAATCGATACAGGACGATTCCATCGTAATTGAAGGTAAATTTTATACATTTTCATTATTGCAAATTTGAAAAACAACTATAATGTTTAAAACATCACAGGCAGTCCAGCGCAGGAATCGGTTTCAAAATGTGACGAAGAGGGAATAAAACACCAAGAAATACTTGCTCCCATCAACGCTTTTGGATTGAACCCTATTTATCCCACTATTATTAGATATATTCCTGTTTCTTCTTCACGATATATTCTCGTCAATACCCAGTATCCATAAATCTCATTTTTCTACTATACTTTAAATGAAATTCTAACCTTGTATTTTGAAGGATAATAAACAAAACATAATTCCTTTCGTATCGGTGGTCTGTTTTGAACCAGAATGCACAAACATATTTGATAATATATGAGGATGTGGTAGAGGGGTAGTAGTTGGATACACAGAAAGAACACAAAAAACGGACAGGTTTATTTATCTTTCCATTCATTTTGTTTTTTCTTGACAAATCGGCTATATGTAATACGTATAGTTCTTTTGCCCGCTCGCTAGCAAATGATCTCGTCGTGTTCTGTTTTGTTTCTCTTTGTTTCCTTCCCTTCCTTCGACACTCGGTTTTCCCAGTGGAAAAGCGCGATAAAACCGAAACTCGCGGATACAGACAAAATACAGTGTGTCGGATAGAGCATGCTCGAAAACGTAAAAGTATATCTAAAGAGGTGGGCGTGGATGATTAAGGTTTGCTGCGTTTTACAATTTCGTATCGGTTCGAAGCTCGATGATTTCTGATCCCTTCGTGGGGCACGGTTGAATCTTTAAAAGGGGGTCGGGGGGCTGTGAGTAAACAGGAAAAAATGTCGGCGAGCATCAAGCGAGAAACTAAAGAACAGGCTTACGTATCGCAAAAATCGCAGATGGTTTACAATGAGTGGTGAGAAGTTTAAGACGCCGCCATTTTGTCGACTGGAAACTTGGACCCTTTGCGCCCTATTTTTTTGCGTTCTCAGCTTGATTATGGCATTTGTCAAGCATTAAGACTATCAGATATTCGTCATTTTATTTTGCAAACGCTTGCAAGTCCATTGCCATAGTCAGTCACTTCAAAACTTCGACCTGATAGTGTAATTTCATTCTAGACATTCCATTTTCTCACTTTCCATTCGAAATGTACAATTTAGCAACCCATTTTAAACCGATAAATTAATTAACAAACGTGTCAAACAAATTAAAAAATTTTTATCTTAATATTAATCGTGTGAGAAATTGGAGGACGTCAAAGTCGGGTCGCAAAGAGCCCCGTAAACAACAATTTGTGTTGAATCAGAAAATTCATAGATTTTTTCAAAGTCGATTTCATTTAACAATAATGACCATAAGAAATAAAAATTATCAGATCTCGAAAGGTCAATTTATTTGACAATTTCGTCGACAGAACGAGACGCCTTGGACCAGCAAGGTCGATAGGCGGAAATAGTAGCGCTATTAGTAGTAATAGTAATAGACAGATAATATAGTAGTAGAGACGATATAGTAAGAGTAATAGTGATAAGAGTTAGAGATAATATAAAGGTAAGAGATAATACGATGTACGTACTATGAGAAAGAGAGAGGAGAGAGAAAGTTGAAAAATAGAAAATGACTACTAGAGATAAGCGAAAGTACAGATCGCATGATAGAAGATGGAAAATTCGTAGGAAATTGTGTGAAAGCGAAAGGGGGGCAGAGGGGAGTAGATTAAACGATAGTAGCGCCGATCGATTAAAACAACGAGCCTAAACTAAGGTCAGCTAAAATTAAACGCTCGATTTTACAAAAGTATCGCTTGTGTGTTTCCTTTTTTCATTTTTCTTTTTATCATTATACCATTTCGTGTTCGCTCGTTCGATTATTAAAAAAACTAAGCACGAGCTCTGCTTTGAAAGTGAGTGATGGAGGAGGAGGAGGAGGGAGGGAGGGAGGAAGGGGGGGGGGGGAGAGCTTAAACCCGTCGTTTATCGGTAAAAAGTCTAGAGTTAGAAAATTAAAAAAAAAAAAAAAACAAAGAAATAATAGTAATGTATAGAGATAGTAGTAGAGAGTACGAACTAGCGAATAATTAATGATGTAAGAGTAAATAATGATTAATAATAAGTAGCTTCATTAATAGTAACGAACGGTAGTGTTAAACGGTGGCGATTAAAAGTAATAGTAATGATGATAATAATAATAATAGTAATAATAATAGCAATAGTAAATAATCGTAATAGTAAAAAAAAAAAAGAGAGAATAAAAAAAAAGTAACCGTTAAAGAATAAAGAAAAGTAGGGCGACGCAACGGCAAGCGGTACGAAGTTTACCGTAAGTCAACGCATGAATTAAATGTTCCGAGAATAATCTACGAAGAAGGTGTTGGGGGGGGGGGGGGGGGGGCGCGGAAGTAACCCTGTATCAGTTTCAGAACTCAGAGATGGGCAAGATTTATCACCTGCATACGAATTTCAAGTTTGCAAGATTTGTCATCTCGTAACGAATAATTACCCAATAGAATAAACATTGTGGTTAAAGCATTATGCGTATTATCGGCGTAAAATTTTGCCCATCCATGCCATGTCACAGAAATACAATTCCGAAGGCAATTCGTCATCTTTCTCGATCCTTGTGTCGAGTCTCGAGAAACGATCACTTCCGGGCCTGTCGCAGGGGTACACGCGTAGAATGGAACATATCCTCCGAGGGGTTTTGGCGGGGGGCTTTGTAATCGAGGTATAAAAATCGTAGATGTAAATCGTGTATAGTAAATGACGCCGTGCCGAAAGAAGACACGTGGAAGAGCGATCGGTACGTGCCCATACATCTGTGTGCGGTCGTGGTCTGTGTGTCTGTACGTGTGCGTGGCTGTGTGAGTCCGGTTTGTGATAAATGCAAACGGTGTGAGTACGCGAGCGTTGGTGTAAATGCTTCGTAGGAATCATCGGTCGACATTGAACTATACAATGATCCAACGTTGTCTATTTCGACATCAACCTATGGTCTTCGTATGTATATGTCTTCTGGACTTGGTGGCGAGAGAGATAGATTAGGCCTGCTTCAAACTTAGGCCCAATTCGATACTTTCAGAAGTCTTCTAACTCTCCAGTTTCAGATTTGGAGTTTAATTTTACTGGGGATGGCCTAACTCTTTATTGTATTTGAAAATAACTTCTCTGAGAGGTAAATTGAAGACCTTTGAGTTTTGGAATTCCACAGACAGTGTTAAAATTGTAGGAAACTGATTTTTCTAGCAGGAAATAAAGCATAGCTGGCTGGTTTATCGCTAGAAGACTTTTTAAGGGCGATCTCTTTCAACACCACAGTCAGAAATTCTTCCTTTTTCTTACAAAGATCCCTAAACAACGTACAATTCAATAACGAGCGACCATACGATGAGAAACGATTGTTCCTAGTGTCTGTCTCCATTTGTGCTTCGGTGAACGTGAATAATTACCCTTTGTTACTAATCTCCTCGCCCTCGTACCGTCCTCGTACACAACTAATCTCTAATCAAACTTACTAGAAAGAGCTTAACCGTAAAACGCTCGCTCTGACAATTGATTTCACGCTTTGTTTTTCTTGTTCCACGTACAAAAAGAAAATTGATTTGTCTTGCCGGAGGCGAGCTGATTGTGACTTGCAACGCAATTCCTGGCCCACAATTGTATTCCTTTTATATTTGTCTCTCTCATATCTGGCTTGAACTTCGATTTCCCTTACGATCAACATAAGAACTTCTTCTCAATCAACGCTGAACTTACCGATCGAACCGCCACGATCCTCTGCGCTTTCAACAAACTAGACTTTCGTCAGCATCGAAGAACGCGTGTGGAATCGCAGCTGTCGTCGGCGAGGAACGTAGGACGACTGGAAGAGAATGGGAAAGAAAGGAAATTTCCAAAACCCACCCAGTTTCCCTCGAAATAAGAAGATTGTTACGGAAAATCGTTATCACACGCGTCCCAGACGTTGCCAGAACGTCTTCGAGAAATTAGGCAGACGAGAAGACCAAAAGAAACGAAGGAGAACCTAAGAGAATGTATGAGAAAGGATGTTCGACAGCTTTTCCGACGGCTCAGGGATTCGCTTTCCTCATCAAATTATATCGATACAGAGAGTCGAGTGATTGTCGTTTAACTATACAATAGTACTCGTTTGAAAGTTCTGGAGGCTTAATTAGAAAGGGGGCTACTACACGAGTCTAAGACGCTACGTTTGTTTTCCATCATTGTTTAACCTTTTACTTCTTTGTTTACAGCTTTGCGATTTTTTTGTTTGTTTGTTTGTTTGTTTGTTTGTTTGTTTGTTAATTCATGTTTGTTCATCGACTTAACAACTACTCCTTAGATAAATCTCTACGTTTCACGCGACTTAACTCGTTACTTGTTTTCACGGATGACATCTCCGGTCGAATATCGCCTAAGGACAGTTCCTCGGCCCTGTGCATATGGGGATGAGTTTTCCTGTTTGCGATTACGCTTACGCTCGATCGGGGTATGTCAATGTTACATCGAGTCTCGAGGGGCCCCTTGCAACATCCTTTTGCACCAACCTCGGCACTGGTTAGCCTAATCCCGTCTTTTCCTCGGTATGCCAACCTTCTGTTTTCCCTTTGGCAATACATCAACGTCACAACAGCGATTATAATGATCAACTAACGAACAATAGAAGTCGAGCGAACGAGACCTGCCTTCAATAAGATATTTGAGGCTTTCGCGGTCCGGGTCATCACGGTTCATACTAACCGAGACTGCTGTTCATGTCCTTTGGGCAAAACACTCCAAACTTACAGCTAGAGGAGTTCCAGTGCTACACAGCTGGCTTCTTAAGGAGATCGAAGGACACGCTAATATTTCACTATACTTCATATCACTGATATCTCATCGTCAGTGTGTCGTTTGACCCCCTGAAGATTATTTTACCCAAGGGACACGACTCTAAAGCTTCGGTTAGTATCAACCATGAGGCCTTCCTCGTCCTGCACCTCTGACCGACAGGGAATTCGACGCCTGCCACTCGAGAATCGATGGATCCTCTGCTTGGCTGCTGAACGAGTTCCCCGTGAAGTCAGGAGGACCCTATAGCCTAACGTGGTTTTCATGGAAGAGAAAAACGGGCAAGAAGATTGCGGAGTCACTCGGTCAACAGGCACACCAATATCGAATCCTATCGATCACGTCGGATGAGATTCATTCGGAGATCCATCTTTCTCTAGGAAAAGAAAAGGGAAACGAAGCTTCTGGACAGTTCCAAAGTGTTTCTCCTGGTAACAGGGACCTAGAAACCGCGACGTCAGTTCTGTTGATATGTTGAGCTTCAAAAAGACACTAACCTAGACTCTTGGGATCTCTGGACAAACTATCTCCTGTCGATCCTCGTACAATCGAGTCATTAATTATGAAAGTGTCCATCTTCGTTTATTCGGGGATTAGAAGGTTTATAGTTCAATCAACGTTGAAGTGTAATCAAAGTCTTTAAAGCAATCAGGTGGTACGAATGATAACTCTATCGCGACCTTGCATTTACAAACGAAAGATATTTTCACGATTTTGTTTAACAATTAAGTCGACACTTTCGTAAAGAAATATTGCCTCGTTAACATTGAAACTTTTTAAGAAGATTCACGCCACTTTCATAACGAACGACTTGATTGAAATCGATTCGTAACGAATGAAGGACCCAAGAAGACATTTTGGAACTAGTCCAGCAAATTTCACCTATCCTATAAACACCATTAGGCGTCCTGCTCGTAGAGATCCTCTTTTTTAAAGGAGTCTCATCTTCACTGTGCTTGACCCTGTGTGTCTTTTAAACGCTTTCGCCACGTAGGAAAAATTAAATATTCACTTATTTCAACAACCGGCACCCGTCGATGGCCGAAGATGGCGGCTTCGGGTGCGCGTTAAAGGTATCTCTTTCTCGTCCTGCCAGCCCGAACGGATTAAATCGTCCCCCCCTTCCCTGTGAACCTTGTCTAACATCCACCACAAAGAAAAGTTTTGTTCAACGACCCTAATCGTCGCTTTTCGACCTCTGCCAAGCTGGCCTCCAGGTCGCAGAGACAATCGAAGGTCGAGTTCAGTTTAATCTCGGTTCGAACGAAGCCTAAGGCCCCGATTAGGCGAGCTGACCATCTCTAATTTCAACGATATATTTTACACGTGTATCGATAATTAATTTAAACCTTTTCCTTCCATACTATTCGCTCACTCTCACCTGGCATTCCGTCAATTCTGACGCTCTCACTCTCTGCTCCTCTCGCTTTGTTTTGTTCACCTGTCATCACCTCGGTGCCCTTTCTCTCTCGTATCTCTATCGCATATACAATATATTCGTAATAGATTAATCTTCTCTTCTAGATCATTACATAATCCGTAACGTCGGTAATCCTACACTTATCAGTTATTAATAAAATATAGATTATTGGGATACAGCCGCTGCGCACTTTTGGACACACCTGTTACAATGCGATATATCAAATATATATATATATGTATATAGGAGATATACATTGTGTGTGTGTGTGTGTGTGTGTGTGTGTGTGTGTGTTGTGTGTGTGTAGGTGTATGCGCGCGCGCCAGTATGTGTGGTTACGTGTACGTGTGTCGTTTGGTCGTGTCTGTTGTTTGTAAAGTGTGTGTTTAACGCTTGTATCGTTTACGTGTTTCGTGAACGTTTGTGCACATACACGCCTTCGTTTAGTATAGTCCCTAAATAACCTCTGTAGGCTAAGCTTCGTCTACTGCGTGGCTCGAACCAGACCCCGAATTTCCTTGGTCCGAATAGATAATTTCCATTTTGGTTTCCTCTCGCGGCAAAATTCACACGAATTCTCATACACTTTCTATTAGAATTCTTCGCATACTACTTCCCATTCTTCATAGTGGTCTCTGTGTAGCATCGATTGGTGAAAAAGGATTTTTACTCGATCGTGTTCAACGTGTCAGCAGCCCTTTCGGAGCGTTGAAAAATACTATTCGAGGCTTCTGGTTAACCTTTTTGGACTTTTTCGAGGAAGTACTTTGCACTGGAGATATTATCCTGTTAAGTTTGACGGCGTTTGATAGTTTTACAGGATTCGATAGAGCTTGATTATGTTGATTGTCACAGTTTATGTCTTCTACAGACTACGCGAAGTGTGACATGATCTGAATAACAATTTTATCCTATTAAAAAGTATCGTTAGACTCTTCGAACATTTAATTTCTGTCGACGAATTTCTATAGTTGTCTAGCAGTGACATATCCTACGTTTTGTCTTGGAATAATTTAGTACCACCATCTATATTCTGCTGTTAGGGTTTATTTCGAACTGGAGATATTTTCCCATTAAGTTTTACGGTGTTTGACAGATTTTTATGGAGCTTGATCAAGCTGATTGTCACAGTTTCTGTTTTCTACTGAGTATGTAACAGCTAAGCGAAGTGTGACATGATCCGAACAACAATTTTATCCTATTAACGAGTTTTCAAACACTTATTTTCTGTCAACAAATTTGTTTTATCGTTAACAACGACATATCCTACATTTTGCTTCGAGATATATTGTTAAAATGTACTCTGCACTGAAGATAATTTTTAATTCTATTTGATGAAGTTTGATGGTGTTTCGATATAGTTCAATGGGGTCTGATTGTCTAAGTTCATGCATCCTATATATCATATGCTCGAGCGATGCAAAATGTCATCTCAATGTTTAATTTCTGAAGTTTGAAAAGAATTGTAAATCCGTGAAATGTTCGAAATTCTTTAAATTTTGTCTCGAAGTAGTTGAACTGTACTTTCAAAAACGCTTACGATTACTCTCGCTAGAGAAGTATTCTGTAGTTCAGTCTAACGAAGTTTGACGGTGTTCGATCTTAATAGAATCTGATAAGCTGATTGTCTGTTTATGGTTTAGAGAAAATGTTGATCTTATTAATCGCTACTGTCGAATTCTCCACTATACAAACTCCTTTCGGTAAAATGTTTCGATGAAATAACCGAGAATTAAGAAAGCCTTGCGAATGGTACCTTTTTCTAAGAGGAATTCGATGCTTCCTCTGAACTTTAGCCCCGTTTCTTGTCGCAGATGTTTTTTCTCTGATACTCTGAACCGTCAGCCGAATTTGTTCCCGTTAAGAATCCATTATCCACAAAGAGTAAAATGTAAGGAGAGTCCATGGTGCGTCTGCTGGGATCTATTTAGACAACTACATTGAATGATCGAAGCGATCGAGATTTGTCACGCCATTGGTCTTTATAATATATAAAAATACGTCGTCTATAATGAGGAAGTTACGTTGAATATGCGTGTATGTATATATATATTAGAACAACTCTTCTAGAATTTCGCAAGGTGTTCAGTTGGTCTGGAGAAATTTCGGAGCCTGAATATCTGCGACACCATGTAGCGAGTGCTGGCTATCCCAACCCTCACCTCGGCCCCCCTCAACCCAGCTAGAGATATACTCGATCTAATCCGTCTACAGGGTGCCTCTTTTTTTCAGAATTTAAAAAGCTACATCTCTCGGATCCTCGCGAATCCATTCAAAATGGCGTCCCTCTATTTTCGAGGACCATTAAAAAGAAGGCAGATTTTATCTGAAATTTGAAAGAAAATGACTCTGGTCGTACTATTATTTTTTTAACAAAACACTTCGACAACGACAGGTCTTGCAGATCTCTTTACCTATATATTTTTACGTTTGTGCTTGGTGGGACTTCAGAAAGGATTTGAACGCCATTTGAAACGGAACCAAGTTGCGCAACTAACTCCGGGCACCCTGTAGATAATTTACAACCCGGTACGGCTGTCCCGTTTGATTCACCGAATTGATTTCTTAAAGCTTTTACTACTGTTCCTCGTCTAGAAATTCATATTTTCCTTCTCTTTTGGCGAAAACGGAGAAAGCCTCTTGGCAGCTCTCCCCTTTGAAAATAGACAAAGGAAGTGGAAATCATTGTCATCGCAATAAATATTAGATAGAATAGCTGTCGCAGGCGAGCTGGTACCGAGACAGATTCTCGATTCTCAGGAGGAAATGCTGTTTCTTCGTTTGTTGGATTATTTTCAAAACTTTTCCGACGTTTTAATTTTTTGTAACCCTGCTTTTTGCGCTACAGTATAATTAATAAAAATGCTGGATGAGTTCGCCAAAAGTAATTCGTAAAAAATTCGATGGAAGCATCGCACACATTTTCCTTCTGGGAATCGAACTCTGTCCAGCGCAACAGACTGTACAAAATAACGAATTCCGTGTCTCTGTATGTGCGTGTGTCGTGTAGCCGTGTACGAGTGACAATGTGTGAGCGGGAATGTGTTCTGGAAACTCTGAAGAGACCTCCAGTAAAATCAACGCAGAATGGCGACGTCAGCGACGAAATTTGGAAGTTCTGTCAGTTGAAGTAAGGTTTGCAGGCTCTTCAGGTACGCTTAGGAAACATTGTGCTGGAAATACTATTGTGCAGGAGGCCTTCGGCTGTACCTGAAGAAGTTTTCCTGAATCAGGGTTCCATGGTTTATTTGTGCATCGAAACAGCCTGTTTAATACTTGAAGAAGAGAACGTATAACTAGAAGATAAGACCTGCTGAGAACTGCACGACGATTAGAGAAGTTTAGGCTTAAGCAGACACTGAACTTCTTTCCAACTGAGGAAGATCACATTTTTCGCGATGGTTTTAAGTGAAGTTCTCGATAATGTATACTGGCTCATGAGGAAGTGTGTAAAAATGGTTGAATATCGGCAATTGTGGATCGCCTTTTCCCTGAATGTTCAATGTGGCAAGAAAGTTTATACCTAAACGATAAATGAAGAGAAGTTGCCTTATCAAATATACATATTTTTAAGAATATGTACAAGTCCATTTATAAAATACGTGAAAATATATAAACTATTTTTTAAACTAAATCGTCGTTAATCCTATGAAAAAGGGGGTTTTCGAGCTTGATTTTCTATCTTCAAAGAACGTAACGACAAGTAACCTAACTGGAAACATTGATCTTTCACTTTGTAAAGAAAGAAGTGTCTGCTTGGACATCAAAGTCGAAACAAAACATGAGAATCTAAAAGCTACTACGCGAATCATAGAAGATACTTTAAACGCAGAAGTTGACAAAGAAACGCGTATGTTTTCGTGTATACGATGTGTAGACGTGTAATTAGCGATCATCGCGCGACGGAAGCGACTCACTACGGTTCCGGTAGAATCTATAAATGCAGTCATCAGATTAAATAATGTAAATACATCGGAGATTCGAAAGACAGATCATAGATGCAAAGACTGGCCCCTTCGCTCATGCCGGCTACTCGCTACGTCTCGACTGATTGGTCGATTCCTGCTCTCCTTGGCCAGCGAGAATCAGCTCCAAGCGATCTAGAACCATCATCCAAGGATCAGGTGGCATATTTGGATCTAAAATTCAGTTTCTAAAGGGACCTCGCCTCCATTTCATCAGATTTGGAACGACTGCCTGCTTGGATCTGATATTGAGACTATAAACCAAACATCCAAGAGGTTTAGCTTCTAACAGATCGATGTAAACCGATTTAGGCCATCCAGAAGGAATTGGCGAGGAGGCTCGTGGAATCCAATCCCTAAATGACTGTCCAATCTTGAAGATCGGCGTCCGAACGATCACGAGGAACATCGCTCGCTTGACCCGTTGAGAGATTCCTTCCTAGAGTTAACGGCTAGCCTACTTTGGCACAAACAACACTGCCCGGGCCGGCACTCGCTTTTGTTAAATATATTTTTTTGTAATTTTCTGTTATTAGTTTGTTCACTTCGCCTCGGATCTCATAGTCTCTTTCTCTCTGGCTCACGCAACAACACTCGCTTAACCTTTTGTTCTCTCAGCAATCCTCTCTCGCAGCCAACCACTTCCGCTCCACTTTCACTCAGTTTCCCTCCATCTACCTTTCTACCGATCGATACGTATATTAATAAGATTTAATTGACTCCAACAGAACGTCGATTAGACAGAAATCGGCGAGCTTCCGTGGCACGTCGCGGCGCCACTCGCACATCAAACGTTCTCAGACTTGAAACTCTAAAGACCTCAAGATCCAGACGGCTACCGTCGCCGTGACGTTCACCGGAAGCCCATTCGTCACGACGATACGACACTACTGATAAATTTTCTTTCTTGACACGAGGATTTGATCATGCGACCATGTGTGGTATGTGTGTGTTTTGTGTGATGTGCGTCTCGCGCGCGAGTCTTTTGTGCTAATCAAAACTCGCATCTAATCGTTCTCTCTCCCCTTTCACTGCCCAGATAAACCTTCCCACGGGCATCTCATTTTTTTTTGTTAATATATATTTATATATATATTTATATAATATATTGACGCTCTGCGGACTATCGACTACAGTGTGTATCATAGTTTCATCATAAATTTACCTTATTATCTTACACGACACTAGCGGTTCAAACACAAAAAAACCTCCCCTATAGTCTCCTCTCTGACTGGTTAGTTCTAACGTCCGCCTTACAGGGAGGGAGGGGGGTGGGCGCTCTCTTCGCCTGTCGAAAGGAATGCTTAGAGATCAGGAACTAATCCGGCTTCCGGTAGGCCTGGTCCGTCCCCGGAAATGCTGATCCGTCTACCAGGCGTTCGAGAATCGCCGGTCGATCTGCCCCACCAATTTCCCTATACGCATGTACAAACTTGTTTGTTTTTTTTTTCCTCGTTTAATTAGCGATATGTTTAACGGTTCACTCCTCTACCGCCCTTGTCATTATACTTGTGTGGTTTGATCCTTATTATACGATTAAAGATTCTACACAATCCTAAGCACCTATCAGCTAAGAAACCTGCGTCTGAACGTGTGTTTCTGTTCGTGTCCGTTCGAGTCCACGTTTGTGTCTGTTTGAGTGTGTACGTTTGCGTGTGATTAATACTTATCGTCGAGCATACAAATTATAAAAATACCACCTGCAACGACGTACGATAGCGCACGATCCCGCCACGTGGCCAGTCGACAGAGGCCAATCGGAATCGACGAGGATCTAGCTCGATCGTTCAGCCGTCGAAAATACTGAAGGTACACCTTACAAAACAAAGAAAGGATCGGTTGGCCCACGAAGAAGCACCGGCTGCCACGCGTGGCGGAACTGACTTCGACTATCGCCTCCATCCCACCTACCCAATCGATCGTTCGGTAAAGATATAATCTTTCTCTTCATCTTTGAGCGAAGATACGATTGGTTGAGGGCAAAGGGTGCGAACGCTGAGGGTCCCGTTGACGTAGCCTTAACAATTAATCTTAGACCGTTAAGCCGTTCGGTTTCGCGCGGCCCCCTAGGGCTCGACGCTCAAGTAACAAAGGAAACTCGTGGCTGACGCGAGGATCTGATCATAGTCATCATCGGGTAGCTCTAAACGCGCGCTACTTTCAATCTAGCTCGCTTCTTACCTGGCTTTGTCCTCTGACTGCGCATGTCGCGTTTGCGTTGACAATCTCTTACAAGCTAACCAAAGACGCGTGCTTCTTTGATGGATCGAACGGATGTCTCGGATCCGTTTAACTTTAAAAACCCTTAACACTTTACTCAGTTTGAAGGCGTCGCCCCGCCGTCAGCGGCTGGCGTTACGCTTGTAAAATATATAATATATATATTTATATATATAATATACCTTATGCTTTAAAGATCAACTCTGCGCGAGAGTCCCTCTTCGTACCCATTTTATAATCCTAGTCTCTCCTTTCTCCGTTGAAAATGCTTCGTTCGCTTACCGCGGGAGGTACCGGGACCTCTCCTCTCTCTTTCTCTCTGAGCGGTTCTGGCGTTGACTCGACGCGAGCCAACGCCGTTTTCTCAATTTACTTTCAAGAGACTCAACCCTCGCTTTCATCGTGGTTCCTCGTTCGCAGCCCTAATCCTGTTTTGAGTTTCACGTGGCCGTAAACTCTAGCGTCTGACGAATGCGAAAAGATAAAATGTAGAAACGGATGTGTGGCATCCTCTCGGAAAGACCGAGAAGTACTTTGTCCTTGCCTCCGAGTCGAGATCTCGGTGACAGAATGTTGGTACGCATGTGCTCCTTGATGCGAGGGACAGGCGGTCGTTTACCATCGTGCTGCACCGTTTTGGAGCCAAGGAAGGCTCAAAGGTGGCCAGTCAATGGCGTTGCAGCCCTTCTAGGACGACCGACCCATTAGGCCCATCGCACGGACCATCAGCCATACTCTGAGCCGGGTGACCAAAAGGGGACTAGGGCATAGGACTGGTACCACTGCCGATCGTTTGATTGTGACTCTTGTTAGATGTTGCTCTTGGAGAATGATACTCTCAAGTGATTGGATTCGCTCAGCTGGTAGTTGTGCATTTTCTGGAACAATTAAAGTGAAAGATGATGGTTAGACGCTATTCGAGAATGTCTAGAAGGATCTAGTTATCGATCAAACTGGAACATATGTGACACTTACGATCAAAGCAGCGACTGCGTCATCCATGCTAGGCATCTGTATGAGGGCCATTTTTCTGTCTTTTGGGAAGAACTTGAAAGCTTTCACGGTGAAGCCATTCTTAATAAAAGCTTCCCTAATTTCCTCTTCGGTTACGGTAGCACTGAAAACACCAAACAGTACGTCAACGTCAACATCAGCTTTCAGAAACTCAGCGTAGACGTTGTGAATCAAATAGGGCTTTTCAGGCTTCGCTTACGGAATATTTGATAAATGCAAGGTGGAGCTCGGTGGGTAGATGTTCTGGTAATTCTTTGAGCCTGGTTTCTTGAATCGGTGAAGAGCACTGTTGGTGTAATCCTTCGTCAAACCAGCATCTGGCTGACCCTCCTTCGGCAACTGAACCGTCTGATGCTTGCTCAGCATCACTTTGATTTGCTTTCCAAATACTCTCAATTTGTCCATGTGTGTCAGTGCTGTTACACAGAGAGCGTTATTAAAAACATGTTTCAATATAAAGAAATCCTATAAACAAAGAGAAATACAAAAATGTTCATTGATTACCTAAATGAGCCTGATGCGGTTCGGCCATCTGAATCAGTGCCGAGTCCTTCTTGTTGTAAAGAATCTTCACACGTTGTACATCCCCGTAAACGCCTACATGCACAACACGCAAATATTACTTTAATATGCCCGCTTAGCCCGAAGAAACAGGCTTTTAATAATGGCGGCATCTAGGGATTATCGATGATGAACGGGACAATCAATTTGGTCGATCGAGATCGGGGTACGACCGGACTAAGACTTGGGACATGCAACGAGGTGATCGGTTCAGCTACTTCAAACGCTCTCGAACGCTGTCAAACGTCACCATAAGTTCACTTTCTTCAACGTTTTTGCTTTTTCTCGATCAAGAATACATTCAATTTAGTTAGCTAAAATTCCTTCATATATTCTTCGAATCTTTCGGAGCTGAGATTTGAAAGCAAGCATACTCTATAGCGTATACAAAGACGCTCAAAGAATTAAAGAAGACGAATAAATAATTTGGGGTAGCTGAACCGTTCGCCTAACCGAGAGGTGAGCTCCTATGGAATTACGTAAAATAAGCGAAAGCTTCTGTAATATTAAGGTGTCTGGAACTGATATTAATAAAATATAAACGAATTTAGAAGAGATGCTTGGAAATAGAGAACATGAAAAAAAATGTGTCATTGATGACTGATGATCGTGGCATGGATGAAACGTGATGGATTTGCGAATGAAACAGTTGTAGTAATAAAATAAGTTGAAATCACGAAAATAACGGAAAATTAAAAACGTTAAACAAGAATACAAGAAATGAACGAAACACAAAATATCCTCTCTATTATATTATATATACGTGAAGAGGAGAGTGATAATGATCGAGTTATCTCTACAAAAAAAAAAAAAAATAAAAAAATAAAAAGAAAACAGTTCACAACGAATATAAGAAACAAATTCTTTTGTTGCGATATGATAACGCCGAAAGTTACGATAGCGATTTAGAGATTATACTCTGTACGTGTTTCGATATATGTATTAGTGTGTGGCATTCATCCAACATATGATTTAAAAAAAAAAAATATGGCAATTTCATTTCGCCATTCTCTTCACTCTCCAAAAAATGGCTTACAAACACGTAGAAGAACGTGTCGCTGTTTCAGCGTGATGTGTATAGTGTTTCGAACGGTGTAAGTGTGCCGCGCGTGTAAATATAATAATTAATAATGTAATATAATTAATAATATAAATGTAGAGACGTACCAAACAGGGTAAAGAGAGCGTCAGGCGTGACCATCTACACAGAGAACAGACAGAGTCCAGTCAGTAGTCAGCGAGTATAATAGGATTCAATGTATAGTGTTGGCACGCGCACAAGTTTCATGATTCTATTTTTTTTAGGGGCTTTCCAGACCTTTCGCTGCAGAAATATAAATAGTTAAAGTTTGCTGGTGGGATTCAAAAGGAACTTAAAAGCTCTGAACACTAGAATTATAACTTGAAAAATGTTGGTTTCCAACAAACATTTACAGACATGCAAAATTGCGATAGAATATTAATTGCGATAGAATATTAATGATAATTACTGTAAATAAAATTGAACGATCCTTTCGAGTGAAGCTCGAATCAAAATGAGACCAAAGTATCACTTGGTACAAAAACAGATACTCGCTAAAAATTTTCTTATCAGCATTCGAAATAGAGATACTATCGATCAATTGAAATTGAATTGTCTTTAATAGTAATTGAACATGTGTGTGTGGTGAAGAAACAAAGGAATTCGAAAATACAGATTCTCTATGATATATATATATACGCTGATAGCGCATGGGGTTTACAAATACACCGACGTAAATATATGTCAGCAACAGCGAAAGAGCTGGAATTCGCTTTTCCGGTCGATTTTCCTTCAGTTGTCAGCCCTCCGCAATCGTGAGTGGAGAAAACAGGTAGAGAAACAGAGACAGAGTTACAGAGAGACGTAGAGAAGCAGAGAAACAGCGGGACCTTCTCGTCAATATGAATCCCTCGTGGTTTTGTCGTCCCTCCAAACGTAGGAATGATTTCGCGGTGGGAGGGGAGGTTAACAAAAAAACAAAACAAGAAAAAAAAAATACATAGTACACTCGATCGTCTGCTCGCCAGAGGAAAAAGACACTGTTGAAGCTTGTGCGCGCGGCGCAACGATAGTAGTACACATAGTTATAGTACAGTAGTGACAATAGTTGCAGCTGCGAGGTGTGACGTCGACACACAGTTTCATAGTGAGGCGCCTTTCGTTTCAGTTTCTTCACTTGAATAAATTAAAATAAAATTATTTCATTTAATTTATTGTTTTACTTTCCAGAACGTTATACAAAATGAAAGCGAAAGAAATTAATAAATAAATAAGTATTCCTTCTCGATATAAACTGAGCTGATCTACTTCAGAAATAATACTACCAGAAAAAGGGATACCGAATAACTTTTACAGCAGATTTTGTAACATATGCTCCAATTGAAATTTAGTTTTGTAAACGAAAGCCGCCTCGGTGGAGATAACGTCGTAGCCGACATTGCTACGTATCACTCAGAACAGAGAATGGTGACGTTCGATTTCTATGTGTGTGTTTCGAAAATGAGAGGGTATCGAGGGTTCGGGGGTGTAGGTGGTAAGATATAAAGGGTTGGTGACATAAACAGGGGCGCATACGCATCGAAACTTCGATTTTCCTGGTTGCCGAAGGGGGCGCTCGCTCGATACCACCAATTGCAAACGGGAGAAATGAAACTCAGGTATTTTTCCACGAGAACAACGTCGTGTTCGCTCTATCCGTTGTTCTCGAGTCGATGGTGGAAAGATGTGTAGTACAGAAATAAAAAATAAAAAAAATATAGCGTATCGAGGACACTGTTCGGCAAGGGAAGCTCGAGTCGAGGGATGGAGAGACTGCAAGGAATGCCTACGTAGCACTACGTTGTAATCACATCGTTGTATTTGCATAACTCTTGTTGTATAGGTACGTACCTAAGCCAGTTTCGTGTACATAGGCGGACACCGAGAGAAATGGCAGAATCTTTTTACATGGCTAATAATGCGCGTGATTATAATAATTGGAACACGATATAAAATATTGAATATCATATTGAAAAGCAATGATAATTGATTAGAAATTGCTCTAGAATATTATAGAAATTATTGTATATAATTCATACGTCGATCAAATTTTAAAGACCATTTCCCTCAGTGTGAAATGAAGATTAGCCTAATCAAAAGTGCACAGTTCGTCGATAGTACAGATATTGTCTATAGTTATTGGTTCGTATCGACGTTCTGCACGCTTTAATGGATGATTAAAGACACGAAGAAATCTAGAAGAAATTTGTAAACCTTTTTACAAACTCTCCTGCAGAATGAAGAATATATTCTACTCCCTTTTCCTTATAAATAAAAACCCGTTTCAGATTCTTCTCAAAAATGAAAATCAATATTTTGCAAAGCAGAGCAACGATCCAAATTGTTTCGACAATTTATTCCCATCTCTTAATTTTGCTTCGTGTCTCCATCTTGGAACTACACATGTCCTCGACATGCTAGTATAGCAACGACCTATCGAACGCTACCAATCGGAAGCCACTTACCTCTTCGTTCAGGTTGCTGACGAGCAACACCGCTGAGGTTTGCGCATTGGTTGGCACGCGCATTCCAAGTCCTGCCGCACCGAGAGGAAATCCACCAAGGCCAGCTAGCCCCCCAGCAGGTGGTACCCCGTTGTAGGGACCCGCCAAGGGCGAAGGTAGCCCATGCATGGCCGCAAAGGGCGTGGGCAGCACACCCGGTGCCCCTGCAATGGACTCTACTTCAGGAAATTTACAAGGTAGCGTTAGCAACGTTTGTAAACAATAAATAACAAAGTGCTCATTGATAAACAAAAATCACTGGTATTGTACTATGTTAAAGGGCTGGACGTCGTTACTCTTGATACGAGAGATAGCGAATTTGTCAAAATTAAAACTGAGTGCTCCTCGGCTACCAAATTATTTCATCTCTCGAATATATGAGACAAATCTTTTAATTTTGGAACTGTGTTGATCTTGCATCCTAGTTTAATTTCAACGCTGGAAAAGCTCGCTCGCTGGCATGCAAAGAAATTTCATTCGTCTGAAGTTGGGCCGCAGAAAGAATCGAGTCTGGAGCCTCCCACTGCTCACTTTAATTAATTCACTTGCAGTTTAAAGAAGTTAGAGAATTCAGGGAAACGATCGAAATTATTTTTCTTGGGTACTGAGACTTGTACAATTCTTTAATTTCTAGTTCTAGCGTTAACGATGTTGAAGTAGGAGAGAATCGAAGAATGAGAGTAAGAACGAACGATGAACGACTAGGAGAAAATCGAAACGGGCGGTTGCATCGACCGATGTGGTATCGCGTTCTCTCGTTGCGGTGCAATTAATTAATTTACCCGAGGAAATAATACCGTCTGACCGCACGCAATTCGATTCTGCTCGAAAATGGAGCTGAAAACGAGCGGCAAATTGGAGGGAAACACGCCGGCTCGCTCAGACACGGAATAACAATTTATCATAACGCCCGAATGACAGAAACGGGTCGCCATTCCTATTAATATAATTAATTCTAATGGACTGAACGGTCGGAAATCGCACGGCTAATTGATCAATCGATTTTCCGAGCCCATCGATCCCGCAATGGCTACTGACTCCATGAAAATCCACTGGTAAAATGTAATGGCGTCGTTCACTGCGTCTTGTGTGAATTTCATAGACTTTAGTTTCAGTTCGCACCAGACTATTCAATTGGCATTCTATCGTAACTAGACATTGAAATTATTCAAGAAAGATAGGAGCTTATTTCGACTAGTTAATTTATTTCATACTCTGAATTACTCAAAAATTAATTAATAGTGGATTTCCCGCGTAACAATCAAATGAAAAATAGCGGAGAATTCTAAGACTGTGAACGAGTCACGATTAAAAACCGACATGCAAGGATAGATTAAAAAGTGCTTTTCTCTCTCAATCTAAAAAAAAGAAACAACGAGGAAAAGAAAAAAAAAAGAAACATTTTAAAAAGCAAACCGAGAGTAGCCCCCGGGGGCTGATGCGCGCAGAATAATGGAAACACACAGGATAACAGTGGTCGAGCGAAAATCCGGTGGAATTCAATTTTCATAATGAAAAAAACAGGCACGCTCCGGCAATTTCCTGTTAAACTCACGGGTCTCAGTTACGGAACTTGCCGGAAATTTAATTTCATAGATACTTTGCCGGCTCGAGACAGTTGCTTCTTCATTATTGTATTCTACGCTATTATTACCGAGTCCGCGTAATCAGGGTGTTAATTGAATTCTATCTTAACGATGTTATCGTCTTAGCCATCCGATGAACGGGGAAGAGGTGTCGCGGGGGTGTTAAAAGTTGCAAATTTGCGAATAGTTACTCTTCGAGGGAGCCGTATCGCGAAATCGACGAGGTAACTTGAGAATTTGTAGGACGCCAATTTTTTAGACCCATGGGAAAGCTTAAAATTGTATTCAACTGGTAATAGAATTATTTCGTAACTTAACGGCTGCTCGAGGCATCGATCTCTATGTCTCGAATGAATGGCAGTTTTATCGTGTAAATTGTATCACACTAACCTGGTATTCTAGCGCGCGGCTGTGATCCGGCGCCCATCAGTAATTGTGGAAGAAGCTCACCACCGAGAGCAAGGGATGCAGCGTCCAAATTCGCATCGCCACTGGGGAGGGTGGGGTTGGTATAATCCCTCGACTTGTCATTATTGAACTTGACGTTCAAGTTTTGCATCTTGCTGTAGTCGATACGTAACGTGCAGCAGGAGTTGTAGATGTTCTGGCCCTCCAACGACTGGAACACAGCAAAAAGAAAGAGAATTGTAATTGAACGCAATCGAATCTAAAATATTTGTTGCTGTTCCAGCTCACAAACTATAATAAAAATCCAAGGGAGAAATCATATTTCCGTCGATAGCAATAGTTCCATCTGTCGCGCTCTCATTCTACGTCAACCTAATTAATTAATCACCCGTTCAATCATCCCCGCCAGGCGACACATGTTATATCATACAATGGCAAAGCAAGGGGATGGACCAACGTATGTCCAGAGGTGGCTCTTTCGATGCCGCTCTATTTGATCTCCATTAATAACAACGACTGCCAACGTGCCTAATGCAGTTGTAACGACGCAGCCAGGCTGGAAAGACGCGGTCTAATTACGTATGCACGTCCAAGCACGGAGGCACACACACTTGAAACACGTCCACGTAAACCTAGCCGCGTGTTTGACCTGCGTATGCACAACTTGGTTTGCATTGTTGCAACATGAACTGTGTGTACGCGCTCAGCTTCGACTGTATCTATCCGTCGGCCATTTACATGGGCTAATGAATTTCATACATAATTACCGACCGACCAACGTACAGGTGGCCAGTGGCGGTGCCTGTAGGTTAAGGCTACCTTCAGGCCAGTTATACAATTTTCCCCGCGTATCGGCAGTGCCAAATGGACCCTGAAATGCCGCGAATGAATCCTGAACTGGAAGGAGAATTTTACGTTCTAGCACCTAGATGAATCCAGAAACCATCTTGAATTGTTGTGTTTCAGGAAAGTAATATTACAACTTTGCTGCTATTTTTTTATAACTTTTGTCCTCCAATTAATTCACATAATTGAGGTCCTATTGTAAAATGAATAGGAGTGGATATTTTCCAAGTGAAACTCAACTACGAATCAATGTTCGCTGCAAATCTAGGACATGCATGTTACGCGTAAACATGTTACAGAGTTCCTTTATCTGATTTCCAATTTAATTTTCCACGACTATTTCCCAAATTTCAGTTGAAATATTCACGGACTACGGGGACTGTTTGTTAACGTCCGTTAATTTCTGAGAAAAAAATTTCCGCGGAACGTTGTAATTATGAACGGTCGCTTTACAGAAAGCGTCCGGTTAATTAATTGCTTACGCGGAAAGTCGGGAACCGCTGAGACTGGAATAATTTTAAACTGATTACTCGGGCGTAAGGGAAATCGGGCTTGAAAATTAAAAATCCGTTAGAGACGCGTGCAACGGTGTAGTCGTGCATAATCCGCGATGCAATATCCCTTTTTTTCATCAGTCAGTCAAAACGACAAAGTACAGTTCGCTGACGTACAAAGAATACCTAATCTGGGTTAACAAAGTGCTCTGGGTATCTGCGATTAAATTATTTTAATATCGTTCCCATCCCTAGCCAAGTTGCGTTAAATTTAAAAAATAGTTTACACGAGTGAGTGGTTCATGATTAGCTACAAACACTCGAGTGTATTGTAGTTAAAAGTGCAAGCATTTGCAGACTGGGGAAACTCTTCTCTTTAAAATGGTTTTTGTTTCATGACGATACGATTATTCGTTCTAGAGATATTGTCATTTATAAGGAACGCTGTTTTTTAATACTCTACTATCTCCCACTCTGACTACTTTGCGTTAAGTAAACTGCGTCAGTGGCTCGCTTCTATATGGCTGCTAATGACGCTTCTAACTACTTCTTACGTTTACCATACAAGTCAACCTACATTTTAAAGTCTCATATCTTGAGGACCAATTAACCTATTCGCTTGAAACAAAGTGCGCTATTAAAGTCACGATTTCCCCTATCGAATGCAGTCCTTCCCAACTATTTTGAAGAACGTATACTGCATATTAAGGTTATAATAAGCAACACAAGGGAGCCGTTGGAGATCGAGCAGCCGAGGGAACTTGATTCGTGGCCACCGAGAGATTTGGCGAATTTTGACGAGCGTCTACCGCCGGTGCAGGGCGGATAATAAAACGCGGCGCGGATTCGAATTTTTCTGCTGTAATCGAATTCGCCGGCAACGCAGAGAACTCGTTCGTCCGCTCTCGAACGACCAAAGAAATTCGATTACCGCGAGAGAGTTTTCACCGTTCCTGCATCGATTGTTTACCACACACCCCCACTTCTCTTTTCGCCCCTTCGGCCGAGCGAAAATCCGTTTTTTCTTCCCGCAACCTCCACCCCAACTCGCTGGACGACTCCGTGCCCCCATCCACCGACGGAAAAAAAGCCTTTGTCGGTTCGTTTCTGCCGGCGGGCTGGCGAATGCGATTTTGCAATTTAACGGAAGTCAGAGAAACATGGCCATAAAGCGAATGCTGAAACGGTTTCACCGCGCCGCAAGTGGCAGCCGAGCGTTTTTGCCAACCCGACCTGTGAAAAATTCTGCATTATCTCGTACCTTGAAGAGGAAATCGTGCTAGACGCGTCATCTATCGCGAATCCCGCCAAAAAGCAGCGTTTTTGGAACTGAGTTTTAAAAAGTTTGCATTGCATTCCACAGAACGTTACTCAAATTATACAGAATAACATTTTTCTTCAATCGACTTTCGAAACTCTGTAAACTTTGATCGAATGCGTTCGCCGACAGAACGAGGACTTATTTCTAAGAGGATTTCAGTAGAAGAATCAAATCCCCAAATAGAAAAGTAAGGGCATCGTAGGGTAAGAGATAAAATTGAAAATTAAAGTTTAAAGATGTAAGACTAACTCAGTTTCGGTAATTTTTTTTTCCTTTCCTTAATAAGGCGTTCAGTTTGATTATAATTTTCTCTAATATTCCCTTTCGTATTTCCTTCGTTGTTTCAATTTATCACCACAGGCTTGTAGTTAATTACAAACGAAACAAAAAGTGACTTTACAATGCAAATAGGTGAGGGAGAGAGGTATCTTCATCGTTAATAAAAACCAAGTCGTTTCAAGGTAAATGTACCGGGTAGCAATAAAAATTTGCATCGCAACATCTGGAGCTTTTAATGGATGGCAATGGTTCTGAAAATATTCCACGAAAAATGTCGATTCGTCCCTAGAGACGGCGGATACCCCATAAAAAGAATTCCATATGCGTTGAAATACAAAATAGGAAGAATGGAAGGAAATAGGGAGCAACACCCAAGCGGGTACTTACCAGTTTAGCAGTTTGGGCTGACAGCATATCCGCGTACTGTATTAGTGCCTGGAAAGTGCCTGAAACAAAACAAAACGACGACTCCGTTAGACTTTAATTAAATATCGTACCTGCCTCAAAGTTGATCGATAGGCGTTTCGATTTCATCTAATTTGAAGATTAGAAAAGAGGTGTGCAGCTGTACGCATGCACCATATTTCAAAGTCATAGAAATTAGAAAGCGCGAAGGTCTGAAAACCTGAACTGGTTCGAAAGAAAAAATTATTGATAGCTGCAGGGAGGAATGTCGTTTGATCTTCGAAAATTGAATGCAGTTTTCACGGCCGTTTGCGTTTTCCGTTGCGGGTGGAAATTAAATGAAGCTGAAATTAAATGGAAATAAAAGGAGCTCGTTTCCCAGTAATATGTTGGGTTGTCGGACACTTTTTTCACCGCGGAGAATTTTTATTACCGCCACGATCAAATAACGATGGAAATTGAATAACGCTGCCCCCGGCGAAAAACTCCATATCCTGTTGTAGCATTATATCCACACAAAAAAAAAAAATGTTCTGTGCTTTTAGGCGCACGAAATCCAACATTAACGTTAAAAATATTCCCTAGGGCGACGCGTGTCCCCTCCCGAATAAAACCCAAAACAATCACCGACGATTTTATTAACTTTTGTTTTAATCAACGACCATCGTGTTTTTATTTTTACTCCTTTTTTTATCTCTTTGTAAAGCGCACGATTGAGATTATATTTCCGTCGATTCTATGGGTCGAGCAAATGTTGGTAATTTGTAATCGTTAAATTCTGATTGCTGTTTCATTCACTTTAATCATTGTTCAACAATTTGTACGGTTTGTGAATATTGTTGGATTTGAGGGAAAAGGCAAACGTCTTGGAATTAACACGACTGGGGCACCTGAAAAAGAAAAGCAGTCACATTCCTGCACGAATCCGTTCCTGAAGCGTGTTTCAAATGAAATGAAATGAAAAATATGATTTCCAGGCGCCGCGGGGCCTCGCAGGAAGCGTGTAGAATGAAGAAAAATACAGAACGAGAAGGGGCCTGAGTGTGTGTTTTTAATTTGAAATACTGGCGTATAACGTTGAGAAAAAGAAGTGCCTTCCTCCTCAAATTGAAATTCTTGCCTCAGTTATCTTTGACGAACACGGCGGAAAACGCTTGGGGCAGCTCGAGGCTTTCATGCTCGTTCACCGTTCTTTCCGTCGGTGTCAGACGCAATTTCGGTTAGGCAACAATTTACCATTTACTAGCAATTTGTTTATAAATTACGCGTTCCTTTAGACAATTTTTAAGCGTATGCAGCAAGATTCACGGAACAGATTTTTCAATGAAATTCTTCAGAAACATCTCCTGCAGATGTAACGGTTATTTTGCAATTTTATTTGCAAGACAAAATTACGTTTTTACTTAAAAACGTACTTTACTACGTTTACTAAGAAATTAAATAATCGACTTTCTTTGGTCAAAAGACCGTTGCGATGTATTTATTCGTTACTTTCACGAGTTAATTGAAACGTCTATCTCGATTAAAACTTTTCTCAAAATTAATCCGCAGGAGAATTAAAAAAATGAGACGACCTGTTTCAAGACAACGATTCTCTACCTGTGCTTTGCATGTTATCTTAGAAGCTACTGCGTCGGGAATATGTGGACTTTAACTTGATGCGAGAAAATAATGCGAGTAAACCTGTGAATGTAATTTCCTGAAAATCAACGACAGTTCGGTACGCTTTATTGGGTTGTGTAAAAGGCGCAGATCGAGATTTGATACAGACCGCACGAAGCTGGCATCGAAAATAGAGGCCGTGATTACTCGAAATCGAATCGACGAGTGGCGGAATAGGGAGGAAAGGGACGAAAAAAAAAAAAAATATGAAGATCGAACGAGCGAGCAGCCACTTGACCGAATGAAACCTTAATTGGACACTGAAAGCTCGCCTTCGGTTTAATTTAAAATCCGTGCCTCCGTGATTTCACCAATCAACCGCTATTTGTCCGGTTGTCCTTTGAAAATTCTGCCCAGCTTTTGTTCAACCAAACGTGCCCCTTTCTGATTTCAAACTAATTGTTGGAGCAACACCGACAGATCGCGGTTATTACATCAGTTCCTAGAGCTTTATATCACGTGGTAATTTTTTTAAGGTTTAAATAACGAGTACTCGTATCTCTCTCCTTGAATAAAGTTAATTCATTAAATTGGTATTTTTAAAGATATTTATAAGGCATTCGAGATGGCAACAGATCCAATGTCGACCCTCTCTCTGGCCTCCAATTCGCCTCGACTCGATAACAGAGCCAGGAAACATAGGTGCTTTCGAGACACCCTTTGAAACACTTGAGCGCAATACCGAAAGTACTAACGGCGCCAAGTGCGCGCAGCGGCGTCGGCGTCGGCGTCGCTGGGCCGGAATACACTTGAAGCACACTGAAGTACTAAAGTGCCGTGGCATGTCTGCCCGTGAGAGTAGCATCTATATACAGGGTGGCTCAGTAGCTGTTGCCTTCTTAACAGAGGAAGCTTTAGCAGGAGAAAAATCAAGAACGAATTTAATACTGGAAAGTGTGTTACCCCCACGAGGTGATTTAGTAACTTGTTTCCTTAATGGAAAGCTCCGGCAGGAAGCAACAAACATCTCTCACAACTTGTTGTTGGACCCGTAACGAACCCGAGGCAGAAATCAAAGCTTTTCGCGGAAACAAATGTTCCTACATCGAATATACTTAATAATAACATTCGAATATAGAGTCATGGTACATATACTTACTATTTTTTGTGAAGGTGACGATTTTTAGAACTTTGCCAAAACGTGTGAATATCTGCAACATGAAAGAAAATACGTGGTTAAAATCAATAACTTGTTGTATTTCTTATAAAATTTCAATACTGGGCAAATATTCATCATCAAACAACGGTTTGTTTGTTAAAATTCATTTTTTAAATTAAATTGGAAGTTTATTTATAAAGCTAGAGACACGCAGGTGCATTGTGCCTCTTGAAAACATTTTTTAAATCAGATCGTGGGAAAAATCCGAAATATTTGTCGTCGAATGTAAATTTTACATATCCAGGACGTGATATTGAATTAATCAACGTCATATTCAGCCAATAAAAGACCAATGCAATATGAAAAAATAATTAAAATTATGGTGTGAATTGAATTCTTCGTGTCACTCATTTTGAAGGAATAAAAAAAATGAATTTTTGACGCACGGTATTTATTATTGTTAAATAAACGAAAATGAATTTGACTTGTTTAATATCGAGTACTTGTTGATTTATTTTTTAGCGACTCACTTTTTCATCTTTAGCTGTTTCAAGTCAATTAAAAGCTCTTAAATTGACAAAAAACTGCACAACTCTGTTCCAGTTTTGCCCAACGGCTGGGAGAGAAAAGAAATTACCTTAATTAACTCTCACTACCCCCTCCCTCTATTTTTAACTTTTAATTAAATTAAAAAATTACAACACAGTCGCGTTCATTTTCATCAAATTCGTTTCGAAATTACGTTGCAAACGATTCACTGGGTGAAAATAGTCGGAGCGAACGCATTAATATTTTCTCAACGTCGAAATTAAACTCTTTATTATTCAGACCAACGCGAAACAGTTTCAACACTCGATTCATGTACTCAGCAAAAAATTTATTCACCAATTATCAAGGGGGTGTTTTCGATTTTTTTGCTAGAATAAATCAAAACTGACGAAACAGAACTTAATGAACGTCGACCCTGAGAAAATTACGTCCATTAATTTTGTTATGTGTCCATATATTATTTTATTTGATTTGATTGATAAGGGATCCTACTTCTAAAATTACTAACAATAAAACATTTCTTTTGCGAGTTTTCTACTATTAACTGGCTTATTTGGCAAACTGCAATCGTCAAATTAATTAATAACATAGAAATATTATGGAAATTTAACAAACCGTACATTCCAATTCTATGACACGTTAAGTATACATGTGTATATTCAGAGAAACATAGAACTTGTTATATGAGCAGCTGCATTTAATTAATTTCCAGTATGGTGATCCGGTAAATAATATAATATATTGTTTACTACAAGAGCGTAATTATTACCTGCTATTTATGGAATTAACCGACGTACTAACACAAATGAGATAAATAATTCGATGTTTGCACCGTGACATAGACAATATACACAATGCGCATTTGATAATTGTTCTTTGGACGGAAATGGGACTGAAAATCCTTTATTTTTGAGTGTTACTATTTTTGGTCCTAAGAACAAATTTGATAAATTATTAATAAATAAATGGATGCGACATTGTTGATTTTTCACAAGTATTAAACAGTTACTGTTTTGTCTATTTCTCCTTGTTGTAATTGGCTACTGCCAGTTGCGATTATTAGCCCTACGGGCCAGTGGCGAACATGGCTGCGAATGTTGCGTGATGCAAACCAGAATTTTGACCATATGTTCCGTCGCTTCAGGGGCTTTCCCGAAATCGAGGGCATCAACCCTTTTAGAATCTACTCGAATATCCTTTTAGCGGTAGTTTTAGAAAGTAATTGGAGGCACAGGAAGCTTGAAATGTCAAAGTAAACTATTGTTAATGGATATTTCAGATTTACATATATTTCAAAATAATAGGGAATTGATAGGTAAGATAAAATCGAGATTTTTACTAAACCAAGGTTAGAATATTCATGTCTTTACCTCTATAATCATTAATTTCTTTTATGTAATTATGTGAAAAATAAAAAATTTCGTACCGTCTGTACTAATATCGTCAAAGTTCTCCATCAACGTGCAAGTTTTTTTTATTTTTTATTCGGTTGCGAAGCGAGTATTGGAACAGACTTTGCCGTTATTGCTCGTTATTGACGCAAATATCGGCGGTGTTTCGTTCGGGTGACAAATTTCCGTATTTTTTACATCGCTTTGCCGCTCTTGCAACGAATAATGGCGCGCGCCATTCGACCGAGCCCCTTTATTTATGTTCGTGATGATCGTCGGCGCGGAAAAAGTCCTTTCCTTTCCCATTTCTCTCTCAGGGTAAAACCTTTCGTTTTTAGTTTGTGTTTTCGGCGCGCTTCGATATAAAGTACTCCCTTTTTTTTTTTTACGGTGATCACACTGTGTACAAGAAATTTTACTCTTCAAATTTACATAGAAAAATGTTCGTTACTTCTTAAATTAAATAAAAGTATCTCCTTAAAATCAGAAAGTGCTTATTCTATTTCTCCAACTGTCTATTGACAGACGTCTGGCAACTCTACTATATCCCGTGGAAACGCCAATAAATGATGCAGAGAGAAAGCAATTAAAGGAGGATTTACGAACATTGTCTCTCGATAGTATATGTATATGAATTTAATACATTTAAAGTGCTCGAGGAAAAGCCTCTGGACCTAAATAATTTTAAACTCGTTGAAGATAATGAACCGTAAACAGGAGTAAACATACTGTCTGAGTATTCGCGATAATATTCTGTCTTAAAGTAGAAGGTAGTTTATGAAGATTAAACAATGTTTACACTGAATTACGATTTTGGAAGTCTGTGCTTTAAGAGAAAGGATCTTGTACGGAACGATCATTCCAGAGAAATCGGTTGACGATAAATCAGAGGGAAATCAAGGAATCCATTTTTTCCCCGTTAACCAGGACAAGGAAAGCTCTTGGATCAATGACAGACAAGCCTGTCTCTTTGTTTTATACGCTCGAACGACTGAAACGATCGAATCGAAACGTCAGGAAGCTGCTTAACTTCCCATTAATCATAGATCCCTGGTACCGAATGATTGATACTTGACCCTTTTCACGATACTTTTGAACATTACCTTTGGGAATGTTTTAGACTACTCGTAGAACTTTGTTACCGTATATCAGTGTAATCTCTCTTACGAATGTTCGATTCCGTGGTAATAGGATTTTAGGACCTGAAACTATGCAGACTACATTTCCTAAATGCCTGCAGGATTACAGAATCTGTATCGATCTGTAGAACATAAGTTTACAATAAATCTGCAGTACTTTAGAGATTACTGAACCGTTGAAACTACATTCGCTGAAAGCCTGTAGGATTATATACGCTAAGAGGCAAGTTATAAATTACGTTACTATTCAGTTCACAATTTGACGAGACGTGCTGCAACTACAGAACGGAATCTTTGGAAACGTGGTGCGATTATTTTGGTCGAAATCGCAAGAATTCAGTCGAAAGATCGTTCGAAAAACTGTTCGGTAAAAATTACAGCATTGTCGTTCAAACATTTCTCGACTACGTGCACGCTTCTCGGCACACGAACCTTTGAGGCCTTGATTTCCCGCGGGATTTTTCGCGGAAGCGCGCGCATATGTCGGTGAAAAGTCGTGGTAAAATGGCGCGGTGAAAAACGTGTCGAGTTTCGTTCGAATCAAAATAATTTTCATTTTCCAGGTCCTAGTCGTTCGATTTCTAAATCAACAGTCGTAATATATCGAAGAAATGTTAATTAATTCTTGAAATTATTCATGATTTTCTATGCTAGCGCTTATGTCCAGTAACTATTTAAATACATGGATATAGCTAAATGAGGATGATGGCTCTTTCCAAACGTGAAATCAGATATCCCGCCGCTGATAGCAAAATAACTATTGATGATAATTAAACAAAACCTCGCCCGCGTATCGGATGCAGCGCTGCTGCCCCTGAGCGAAAGAAACGTCATTGATTTTCAGCGATTCATAAATATAATCCGTCGAGCCGTCGGGAAATTCGACGGATTTCCAGGCACCGGTTGCGCGAGCGGATTTAATTAATCATATCGAATATTCCATCATGAAGCGTTTAAACTCGTAGGCATTATTATTTAGGGTGGCCATCGTCGTGATTTTTTAAAAAATATCCGTTTCCGTTGGTTATTTTTATTGGTATTTTTATATTTAACATTTCAGTTCTCCCATAAAAAAAAAAAAAAAAAATTGATAGAAAAATACTTTCTTACAAAGCTGATTCTATTACACAATTTTAACAAAATTATTTCGAACAAAGGAATTACTTTAAAATTCACTCTGCAGTGTAAGTAATGTCGATGCATCTGAAACGAATTGAAAAGCACGGAAAGTCTGGAATTCGCGTAATCGGTGTACACTTTTGTCACGCAGGCATCTCGTTAGTCTCGCTGTTTCGATCCCCCATCGCCCCTTTCATTTTTATTTCTTGTATCTGTTGACGTTAACGGCCAGCTTCTTTATTTTTCATTTGGCCGATTTATCGTTACGCCGCGCCGGTGAAAATAAATTCTTCATTTGATCCGCGAGTGGCATTTGCCGGGCGCAATATTGAATATTCGATGGAAGTTAAAACACGTGATACTGCTTGCATTAGCAACCCTCCTCCACCAACCCCACAAACCCCCAACAAAATCCAACCGCTTATGACATACAGGCTTTGATTCCATTCACATATTCGGAGATTTTTCGCTTCGTTCGATGTCATGCATGTTGCATGAGATTTTGTTTATTTAACATTCGAATTACACTGCTTCGTGTGCCGGGCCATTTCCGCCCATCAAGAGATTGAGTTCCATGGATCAATTATAATGTAACGTTCGCTGCAATAGAATAATTAACATATTTCACCAACGATAATGTGGACAAAATATATAGAATTTCATGGAGGTGTATAATTAATTCATAAGTGAAATTATATTCAGAAAATGTATAGAATTTCATACAGCGGGATAATTAATTTATAAATGAAATTGTATTCAGGACTAGAATCAATTTATAAGTAGAATTATATGTAGAAGTATGGGACACACATACTCCTTCCATAACAAGGTGGTAATCGAACCCTTTACAATCTTATTTACAATCCACGAATTGTAGGTGCCACAATGTGGCTCCAGAGATCAATACGATTCTCCAAGGTGCCGTTCGAAGACTAATTATATTTAAGCTCGGCCTGCGTATCCCACGAACGAACCGCTCAAACATAATAGCGCCCCCACTAGCTGGTGCATTAATGGAATCCATGAAATTATCCAGAAAATGAACAGCAATAACACGCAGGGGTATATAATGGATCGCATAAAGCGTCCCTGATAATAAAAATCGCTACTTCACGTGAATCTAGATGCTCATTATCGTTACGATTAACATCGTCCACGGGGATGCTCCATTTTTAGGGTAATTACGTCTGGATTTGAGGCTCTCGAAGGATAGACGAGACAGGCGCTCTAGAAAGTCCCAATCGCGACAAATAACATACTTCACTTATATTTAATCTCTTTTATTTCAAATATCGAAGAGCACTATTATCGATATCGTCACCTTTTCAAGAATGAATCTTGAAGTATTCCCTTCAACTCATGGGTAAAACGACGAAACGAAGGACGGGGATTAGCTGCAACCATAATGTCGTATTCCCCGTGTCGTTTCTCGCGTATACCTACATCATGAATAATGGCGGATCGTCGACGCCGACAGGGGCGAAATTACGTTACTATTATTGCACGTTATTGCATTACGGGGCCGGCGTAGATACCAGCGCGTCGATAATCGAGAACGGGAATTAATAACTGTTACATCAATCAATATGTACAACGGCCTCTCCGCCGTCCATGTGGAACGATGACCATGAAAGGGATGGCATAACCAACACGAGTGACATTCGAGGGTTGCCTGAAAGATTACGCATCCATAAATATTTGGCTATAGTCGTTGAAATAATTATTAATGATACTGACTTGGAATCTTTTAAGTACCTTGGCTTCGTAGCCATAGATGTGTTGAGAAAATAAAATTAGACATTTCGGTTAACATTTCCTACAGTGAGAGAGAGAGAGAGAGAGAGAGAGTATATTTTCTAGATAAGTTTCACGAGAAGGAGTATTCTAAGAAAGAAAGAGAGAGAGAAACAAAATTGCCAAACTCCCTTTCAATTCTCCCTTCATTCATCACGCGAAAGGGGTAACAACGAAGGAACTATCGGCTTTCAGTGCGATCGGTTACAGTGCGCCAGAGCATGAAAAACCAGCCCTCGGGGTTACGAGCGCCGTAACAACGGGAACAAACAAGAAGAAAAAATAGAGGGAAAGAGGAAAATGGCGCAGCATTATTCCGTACATGGCAATTCGTGCCTGCAACGGGTTCGTTCCGTAAATCGGATTATACAGTCGGTAGATGGCGGGTCATAAAACTATCCTACCCTCCAAACCAGTCGTTTCAGCCTGGTAATTTCTCCGTGTAAACATCTTCTTTTCCGTTTCTTCTGCGCTCATCGAGGCATTCCTCCTATGGCCTCTTGCGTCCACGCGCACGCCTTTTAGACAGGGCCCAGGCTCGATTGTAAAACCGGTCATAACGTTCCGTCGAAGAACGTAAACGGCGCAACCTCTCAACGTTTACGTTCCTGGTCAAATGGTCGAAGAATTCCTGGCGTTGGCATAAACGCGCCGACGGGTCCGTCTCGCCCACCTGGGACGTCTTAAATCTCGCCTTATTTAAGGCGCCGCCTCGAAACATCCCTTGGACAAATTTTAAACCATACCGTGTATCTCGGATGCAAATTAGGTTGTTGAAAAACGTCGTTCAGTTTTTTCCCTTCCATCTTGTTTTGTTTCGTTTAATATCGACCGAGGATACTATAGTTGCATCCTCGCATTCTTCAGCTAGAAAATTCTTTGAAGAAGAGGATCCACTTTCACAACTTCCCTCCTAAAGAAAACCACGATCGAAGCAACGAGTTGATCGAAAGTATGGACAAAACAAGACACGTTGCGCTTAACAAACAAAACTTTCCGAAGGTCTGGACCCTGGAGAATTAATCCCCGCCGCTTAATAACCTCCCTGTTACGCTAGACTATACAGTTTTTCAATGTTCAACGTGGGGAAAAAAGTACCGAAGAAGAAAAAAGTACGGGAAGAAGACTGCCATTAAAACTTTCCGCGATCAATGACCCTTCAATGGGTACGTTTCTCCAAGTTCACGGATCATTAGAAATTTTAAAGCAGCTCCCGACACTGACTAATAGCATCTCGTTGGATTAACAAGTTCTCAAGGCGACAGTTTGAGAACGTTGTTCGTATCACTCTTTTTTTACTATAATACAGTCTATGAATAAGCCTCGATACTGTAGAACACTCGATCGGCAAGACGTGATAATGCAGAACGCTCTGTCGATAAATCTTGCGACAAGTTCGAGTTCTACGAGTTCTACCAAGTATTCTACATTACCGTTAAAGTCTTACCTACAGAGTGAACAATACCGACAAAGCTGCTTACTTCCAGTCAACAGAGAAACAGCCTTAGGGTGATGCCAAACATCCGGTAATCTTTCCATGTGACATCAGTGCGTGTAAATTCAGGCCAATGCCAAACCCATGACGTAAACCTACTTAGGCAGCCAAATAACAACTAATCGCCGGCATGTAATCCGGATACGTTTTCTAGTCGGTCCATTATCGGCTTAGAACTATGCCGACCGGATTCATCCAGAAATTCACCGTGCTTCCTGAAGAGGCAGGCATGCATGTTGAAACGCGTCGATGGTGGTGCCACGGTGGTCAACGAAACGCTTGTAATCTTCGGGAATTTCAATTCGGCAAACGCAAATTCCGTTAATGCGCGAGGATTACTGACGGTCGCTCTTGCGGAAGACGTTTGCACGTGAAGTTAATTAAAGTTCGTTCGACGGACCTTCCACGCGTTAACATTTCATCACGCGTGCAAATATACAGGGTGTATGTTAACGCATGGACTTTAGCGGTGGATCGAGGACAGAAGAACGTCGAGCGAAGCTTGCTAGATCCTTCGTGTAAAAAAAAGGATCGAGTTTCCGGGTACGTGGACCACAGCGTAGTATATTATTCGGAGAGTCGGCGGATAGCGGTAAAAAATGCATGGACCACTTAACTCCAACCGGAAGCACATTGGTTATCCTGCCATTCGGCGCCAAAGAGAGCGTTCCTTGATGAAAGCTACATGTTCAGTTTTAAGTTCTTTTCTCTATACCATTATCACATATATTTAGAAATTTTATTAAGTAATGCATGTTTTTATTCATGTATACCGGTTATCGTTGACTTCTGAATATGTACAACCAGGATTAATGGTTTTGTACTAGACCAAGATCAAATCGTAGAGGAATGAGTACCTGGACGGTACCATAGATTAATACAGCGCACTTTGTAGGTAAGCCTCGATAATGAAATGCACTCGGTCAGGAAGACTCGGTAATGCAATCCGATTTGCTGGCAATGTAGAATAACCGGTTGGTAATCCTGCTATCGAGTTTCAGTTCTACATAACCAGTAGAACTATTTTACTTTCATTGTTTCTACATTACCGAATGTTACTTACGGAGGGTAAGTAAGATGTACAGGGTTGTTAAAAAGTATAAAAGCACGTATATGTTACATTACATGACATAGTTCTCAGGTTGGATCCATGATATTTGCATTGGATTCTAATGCCGTATCATAGTGCTTCCGTAGATTCAAAATGATGCTAATAGGGTCGATTGTCTGGTCGCTCCGTGATTTTAATCGATTCGTTAATTGACCGTCAAACCATCGTAATTAATCGTCACAGAATCAGCTTTTGTGCCGTGTACATGTGAATTAATTCAATAATAACGTCCGTCTCATTACGTAATTCAGCCTGTAATTGTAATTTGTAATTCCGTAAATATGTAATCCGACCCCCGTGTTTCCTTATTAGTAATTTGCGATGCAAAATTGCGCGCGCTGGATCACCGATCGCCAACTGAACCGTGTGACACGATTAAGGAAGAAAATTGCATGTTTCACCGGCTTTGCATTATACAACCAATTTTCCAGACGAGATACGCAACTTTTAGGGAATAAACTTTCTTGTTTTCCTTTTATTAAACAATGACATTGACCACAAAAGTGTATCAACAGTGAGAAAGAGACTGCGATTTTTATGTCATTAATCATTTGGAAACGTTATAAGGACTACTTAAAAAATGATTCTAGAAGACAGTTGGGAACGGAGAAATTCGAGGCAGGTGAAAATCGTCGATTTTGGGGGAATATGTGAGGTGAACTGGTAAACATTGGGTCGGGTTGGGTGGATTATTTAATATTCCATTAACGAAAACGCGTTGCGATGAAAAATCTCCGGAAGCTGTGAACATTTGCCGTGCGAAATATGCCACGGCTCTTCCCATAGTGATCCCCGCAGACCGTTCGAAGGATACCAGAGAAATATCCGATTAATCGGGAATCGAATTCGGGGAGATAGCCACGGAATCGGATTAATTTTGCATCTCCTGCATTATTCCCCGCCGATTTCGAACATTTTTACTTTGCACGCTAGCCCCGATATTCTGATAAATACGCTTACTATCCCTTGGTACGTCAACACTCTTTAAATCCTTCGATGCAATCACTATACACTGTCCCATACCAATGGCCCCTGCCAGAAATGGAACAAATTGTATACGAATAATAAATGACGAATAAAAGCAACGTACAGTGATTTATCCGCTACGTACATTCGAGAGTTTCGTTTTTATACTGTTAATTATTTCTTGGTATAATTCGAGTTTTCGTCAACTATCAAAGTAACAATAATCTACAGAACTATGTCACAGCAGTATAATTAAAGCAGTGTAATTAAATGAAATCAAATGAGCAGTAGAACATATAAAAAAAATTTTGAAGTTGTTCAAGGATTAATGAAAAGTAAGGCATGTCACGAGGCGAGTTACGGTATGAATAGTTAGATCAAAAGTTTTCACTCACCTGATAGAGCACGTCCAGGGAAATTGGGTAAAGCATCTGTTCGACGATGACTCTGAGAACCGTGTTCGGACCCCCTTGGGTCTCGGGTTGCGCCTGAGCCACCTGATTTTGCCCAGGGATCGCCACCTGGTTGTTCGAGTTCTGCAACAACAAAGGGGAAAAGGAAAGTTAGTTTTCTGAATAACGATTTCGCTCTGGTGCGTGTAATGAACTGGAACTGTGTAAAAATGTTCTCTCTTCGCTAGGCGAGTCCTTGATTCGAAACAGTTTTAATTGAAAAGTGTCTGTTTGTTCGGAAAGTTGATCGGAGCTTCGCGTTAGAAATAATACCATCACTCGCGTCGAAGCTGTAGAGTAAAATTCAAATTGAACTGTAAACAATGACACACACAAAAATAAATATTTTTTAGTATCACTCGATGAACAGTCCAAATTGACAAGGTATGTAGTATCTTCCATGAAGGTAATTCGATTGTTCAAAACGAAGAGCAAAACACGTCACGCTCGTTTACATCGAAATAAAAGCTTGACAAGTGTTTTGTTTTGGTGTAATAAAACCTCCCTTGTATCAAAGTTCTTAATTAAATTGAATCATGTTTTGTAATTAAATTTTGTTTTCTCCATCTCCTTAAATAAACAAATCGATTGAAGCAGTATCGTGACATAATGTTAATTGAGACTGGGACGCAGTGTCAGTTACATTACTTGACGTCAAAATTGAAGGAGCCTTAAGATTAATGGTTCAAGCGGCGAAGTCACGGATGTCTACGTTTTATTACTTAATTTTATTTTACCAGTTTTATGTCCTGTCCAGTACTGAATTTTCCATAATTCCATGCTACTTTCGACATAAAAATACTTGAACGCGTCGACTTCCATACACCCAGCGGTCATTGTAATTTTATACGAAGAGCCTACGTGACCGCTGGTGGCTCTATATGGGCTCACCTAGCTTCAAAATTGAAGAAAATTTCTCCCCAAAAGTGATACACCTTACACGTTACAATATTAAAGTAGTCCTTTATTACCTTAGTCATTTCCGATGTGAATATTCAAATCAAAATGATCTATGGTTTGGATCTATTAAATAGGAGTCCCGATCGATCAATTTGCGATGGCGACGTCGCGACGCAAAGTGGCCGATTGAATTTCAATATTAATCGAACGGTTAGCGGGCGTCGTTTCGATGCGCTCGTTGTTCCTGCCTATTAAAAATGCAACGGGTCAAAATTGGCCTCGCCAGAGAAAACAATACCATTAACCGCGTCTCTATGCTCTCTCCTCTTTCGGTTGAACATTGCAACGCGATGAAAAATACATAGAGAGGAAAATGATCATAGTGATTGGTGGAAGAAAGATGTAAACTCGAATGAATTTTGACGTTAAGGGATTAATCCTCCATCGCGTTGAAGCCTGGGTTAGAAACCAGTGTCTATTGAATAACCAGCTATTTTTCCATCAAGCTTTCCATCTGGGTTGGGCAAAAATAGTAAGTGATAACTTAACGACTTATAATTTTGTTTTGTACCACTGCTTTGAAAGAGTCGTGAATTTTCATTCGAATACTAGCTAGTCGCAACGCCTGAATAAAGAATACAGTTTGAAACGTTAAATGTGTATCATTCGTGTTTGAAAACAACCGAAAAAAGGTTCCCTGAATGAACAGGACCAGTGGAGCTGAAGTAGGAACGACTAAGCTCAAAGCAAATAGAGAGGAACTTCACCTAACTGGAGAGTGGGTGCAGAAACGAAAGCACAGTAATTCGTTCACAACTAAAGCTTTGAAAAAACAAGCAGTGAAAAAGAGCCATCGCGTTCACAGAGGCACGACTATTCGATAGTCCTTCGATTGCTATGCGAATGGTGTATCGGTTGCCCAACCACTTGCGAGTCGATAATTCAGTTTGCAATTCCACTGGCTCTTTTTGTTTTTACGATACTCGTGCTCCCATCCATTTCATCTGAATGAACGATCACCAGTTTAATGTATCATAGCGTATTCTCGACCATTTTGACTCAATTTTTACTAGCTATTACTGTCTTAGAAATAGTTGGCGATACCAGAAAAATTTTTAAACAAATACTTTATGTTAACATTAATCTCATTTCGAATTGTGCCAGAAGTTAGGTCCCGTTTCATACAATCCCTTGCTAAACCGTAATTTCCAATTGTGTAAAAAGTTTTGTCTCGTTTTCTTAATCAATAAATCCGGGGCGGCGAAGGAACGAGAATCGTTTTTCTTTGTTTAAAAAGTTCCAGGGGAGAGGGAAAGATGATGAGAACAGTTTAATTATACTGGATGCCGATAATAAAGTCGCCAGCTGTGAGAGCCCCATGGAAGGGCTCAATTAAAGTTGTACCTTAATTTCTAGGAGGTGAGAAGGGAAAACAGATAAGAAGAAAAAATCGTGGCTGGTAAAAGAAGTTGTAAGACAGATTCGAGACAAAAGGAGGAGAACTCTGCAAAGGGGATATAAAAGAATAAACATCGAAAGGATGGTAGAGATAGAAATACAGAGAGGTGCTAAATAAATAAGAGAATACTGTGGAATTTTAAATAAAAAGCAGTAAGGAATATAAAGATGTACGTATCAGGGTTGAACGTGTACACTTTTCTAACGTGCTTAATAAAAACGCTCGACGATATTAATATTTAAAAAGAATATCGTCCTTTCCAACGAGACATGCTAAAAATATCAAGCAATTGTTTAATTAAATAACAGGGGAAGGGACACAAGGTGGCAGCTGTTGTTTCATTGCAGTGCCGGCTGCGAAACTTGCTAAAACTACTTTCCGGCACGTATGCTCGAATCTATTAGCCGGAAACTTCCCGGCGAGTAAAACTTGAACGTGTTCAACGGCGTAAGCAGTGCCGGATGGATTGCAGAAACTGTAAACTCTGCTATGTATGATTGTGTTAAAGGGTGAGTGAGTTGTAACGTTACCTCGCGACAATTCTTACAGGGGGTCACAAAGGGACCCGGAAATTGCGCGTAATGACCGTGTAATTGTCAACTGCAATTCCGTAAATTATCGTCCCTGGGAAGAGGAAACTGTAAAGCATTCACGGACAGAAATAACCAAAAATTGATGACGAGTTTTGCATTTAATATTGCTTGTGTAACTTCAAATTTTTATTTTGTCGAGTAATTTCAGGTCCGATAAAGGAGTAATGAATTGCTGCAGTCGATCGGAAGTTTATTCGAAAGAAGTGAGAAATCGATTTGCCCCCGGAAAAAAAATTTTATTCCAACCTGTCGATGCACTTTTTCCAGCAAAGGTACCTCTTTCTTGCAGTGGGTTATACGGGACAAGCTGTACAATAAGAATATGTGGGATTTGCAGGGTCAAGAAATATGGGAAAATACGAGACGTGAAATGGAGAAATCGGAGATTTAGGAAATATTAGAACATGTAAAAATAGTAGATACGGAGAAGGTTGAGATGCGTAAAAGCATGAGATTTACGGTAGTAGAGAATATGGAGAAATATGAAGACTCGGAGTGCTTCGGTTACAGATAAGCATCAAGTTTGGAAAGGTAAGAAAATAGTTCTATAAGCATAAACATTGCAGACCAAAAATTGTCATAAATCCATATGGCGCTATATTTTATTTTCACTATACGAAACAAAGATAAAAAAAGCTATTACTCGTCGAGTGACCTATGAACCACAGACGCACAACACGTTTTAACATTCTAACACTCGACGCCACGGCGAACACTGAAAGCAAGCATATATCCTCGTCGAGTCAAATATACATTGGCGAAAATCTAGCCATCCCCCATACCGCACCCTAGCCTGAGGGATGTGGTTCTTTCAAAATGGAACGGGGCAGGAAGAGGAAGAATAATAAAAACAGCGATAATAAATAAAAATTCTACTGGGCTGCCGCAACACACTGTCGATTCTCGGAGAAAGGCAGAACTTTTATTTTCAAAAATGAATTACTGCAAATAATTTTATTCTATTTTTATATTATCTATAATTTTGGTGTAATTCGAAGTTTCGTGCCAACACTTTGTTGCAGCTTGAAAATAAATTGAGTTCGAAACAGCTGAGGTAAAAGTATTTGAAAAAATTACATGCTTGTAAACGGGATAAAAATTCTGAAGACGTGCCTTTTGCTTTATCAATTTTCCATCGTGTTCCACCCTTAATTAAGTTCGACTACAGGGTTGGAGAGAATAATTTAGGGAACTTCATACAGCTGAGGAACATGAAAAATGGCTCCACTCGAGCGGACCTAGCAAAAGAACAGGTACACCTGTTCTCTTGCATTTTTCCCCACTATTCTGAATAAATTACTAGAAAATAGATGTTGTATTTACCCTAGTTTCCCTTCTCTGAACAAAATTTACACATACCTTCGGAGAGAGAAATTGATAAGACGAACAAGTGATTGGTGATTTTAATTACATTGTATAATGCAATACATTCAATAACTATGCTCGTTTTCTGACTGAAAGTGGCGATTTCCAATTAGCAAAACAAGCTGATAAATTATTTCTTCAACGAAACCTGAATTCAACTTGCTCAAACACATTATCCCAATGTTTACCGTGGTCTCAATTATAAAATGAAGTTTCCTTTATACTACATTTTCTGTGAAAAAATTAAAGGTAGTTTCAATTCCCAGTACCATCTCCCCGAAACTCCGGTCGTGTGCTCGCGAAAGCCCGATTCCTATTTATTCAGGGAACTCGCAATATTAAAACGATTGTTTCGTTTCGAGGGTAACGCATTTCTAACGGTGCACGAAAGAAAATGAAGAAATTAAGAATTAACGTGTACCCCCAAGACAGAGCACGCCGTGGAAAATTGCGGCTGTTCGAACCGCCGCGAGGAAGATGGCCGTACGATTTGTTTGCGAAACGAGCGAGCATCTTGTATCCGTTGGAATACTTGAGAGGGTTGCGGTCGGTAAGAGAAAACAGGGCGGAAGAATCGAAGAAGGATTGCCACTAGAATTTTCGAGGGGAGTTGAATAGCAATGAAGAATTCATTTGGAGCTGCGCAATTTTCCACTCGCGCGTTATTTCTTACAGGGGGCAATATTTTTGGTTGAACAGAGGGTGTGATTCTTTGTCTTTAAACGTAACAAAAAGCACGATCAACATTTTCTCACAGGATCCATTTG